TTGTAATAATATTAAATCTGTATGCCTCCCATTCCCTGTCAACAGCTTATATGTAGAGGCGAATTCCCATTGCCTCTGATATTTTGTCCACTCACGACCTTCATGATCCTTCTATATACAGGATGGTAACGGAAGTTGGTAGAGGTCTGTTATTGGATTGCTGCCCCTGTTTACTCCATACCTTTTCGTATTCACTCGCTCTTGGTTTCTCTTTAATTGACCCCTTCATATGCTCACCTAACATCTAAGTTTTCTCATCTCCCTTGGGAGGTTTTGACAGTTCAAGTCCGTTCTTCCCCACTGCTATGCGTGAAAACTCAAATAGTACCTCCCTTTTTCTTAACCACTTCCAGTCTCATTCTTAGGCCATTGCAGTTTACAGTGATTGTTCTAAATTCTCTGACAGTGTTGGGTTTGCAGCAGTGTTCCCAGACAGTGTTGTGTGAGGTCATATTAGACTCGGCTAGCATTTTCACGGCAATTCTCACTAGTAATTATGTGTATTACATCCAAGCCTACTTCAACATTTGTGGTACTTTCAGACTCCTTTAGTGTTTTGCAGGCTATAAAAAAAATTTAATTCACCTCATCCCTAAATTCTTTGTATACAACTTTGGTTGCATCGCATTTCTAGCAGAAACAAAGACATTGCTTGCTGCTGGGTCCCTGGTCATGTGGATGTTCACGGCAATGAGCAGGCGGACTCTTGCGCAGTCAACAGTACATGACCTTCACATTTTATATAGGGGTATTCCATTCTCAGACTTATTTTGCTGTAATCTCTTGCCACCTTTGTAACTTGGCAACAAGAATGGTCTGAGTTGATTCATAACAAATTATATTCTATCAAGCCATGTTTAGGATTAGGAGACTGTCCTATCTACCAGCAAGCACGCAGAATTTTCCTCCAACATCATCACTGGTCTAACACCCTTACTTTACCTTCCCTCCTCACTGATGGCCCCACCTCAGACTCCCTCTTTGACTTCTTGACAGCAACTGATCTATTACACAAACTATGATTATACTTCCTTCAGCACCTCACATTGCCCTTACTAACTGTACCTCTTATACTCTCCACCCTCACTAGTCTCTGATCAAGCATATTAAACCTTTACCACACCCTACCCTGCAGCGCTGTATGACTTGTGGGTTTAGCGCTAAGTTAGGATTATAATAATACGCAATCACATCTTCTCCAGGTGCTGTATTACCTTTGTGGGCTATAATATAATTCACCTGGTTTGGTATACTAAATGTGCTATGCAGTGACCAAGAGTTGCCATCTTGAAGACTGTAGGAAGATCAGAATGATGACCTTGTAGCCTTGCTTGGATGGCACAGTGGATAAATTTAACTACACTATAGAGGAACAACTGTCCTGAATCAAGAAGAGGTCCTTGCAGCCAGTGAGGGGCTGTTGATTCAAGGAATTGGACCCGTGCTCCCCTTTGAATCAAACTCAAATGCCTCCCATTCTCCCTAGGTGCTTGCTGTACAACCTCAGCAGGTTTACCGCTCATCCATGAATGTAATAATACCTTAAATCCTGCACAAAAAGACCAAGTGGGTCTCAAAGTTGCCAATCCACCTAGTGGCATACCACCTACTGAATCAGAACCCTTGTGGGAAGGTGCCATTATTCCAATGAGGGCTCTTGATCCAAGGAATTAGACATCCATTTCTTTGGATAGAACCTGATTATCTTTCATTACCCCAGGTGTTGTATGAACTAATTTAAAACCTCCACATGAATATAATAAGGGGATGAGAGGAAAACCATCCTCTGATGGAGTAAGAGAGGAAAACCATTGTATGTAATGGCTATGTTAACATAGTTATCTCCTGCTATGATGCAGCGGTGTATGACCTTTAAGGGTTTAGCGCTTTCATTGTGGTTATAATAAAGCTGTTTGAAATACAAAATCATAACAAAGTGAGGCATAGCTCAGGGGTAAGAGCATTCAGCACACTGAACACCCAAGTTTATTATCGAGGCCAGGAGCAGTATGGGCAATAATATCACCATAAAACTGCTGTCCCATGTTCACCTAAGTAAGTTAATAGTTACCAGAGTGTTAATCAGTTATCGTGTGCAACATAGCAGCGGAAAAAGTGCAAAGAATTAGGAGATATGACTGAGGTGTAAGTTTAATTAGGTACACATAAATATTTACACAAATTATCCCCTCAAGGAAGGTTCTTTGATGTTGGTGAGGGGCTCTTGATTTAGGGAATTGGATCTGTGTTCCAGTTCCCCGAATTAAGCCTGAATGACTTCCACATCACCCCCCCCCCAGGCACTGTATAATCCTCTGGGTTTAGCGCTTCCCCCTTGATTATAATAATAATAATAATACACAAATTATCATACATAGTAACATATGTGTAAGTTACCTAGGAAGAGGAATAAAAGGGATGTAAATAACATGCTAAAAATATTTAACCAAGACAACTTGCAGCAATGGAGTCAAGGTTGGAAAAATTTATATTTAAGGACAGAGGAAAACATTGGTTTGGTAACAGAATTGTGGATGAGTGGAACACACTCCCGGGTAACGTCATTGAAGCTAAAACCTTGTGCAACTTTACAAATAGCTTAGATAAGTACATGAATGGTGTGTAAAGTAAAAGGACACAAGGAGCTTTATCAAGCCATTGGCTTGATAAAGCTCCTGGAGAGCGAAACGTTGCCACAATAAAATGTCACATTAGTTGCACTTGTGTCCTTTTACTTTACATATTGTCGGTAATTCTACCAACTTTATTACAATGAATGGTGTGATTAGACTTGCCTAGTATAGGCCAGTAGGCCTGCTGCAGTCCTCCTTCCTTCTTATTTTTTACGGGAATTATTATTATATAATCAAGGGGGAAGCGCTAAACCCGGAGGATTATACAGCGCCTGGGGGGGGATGTGGAAGGCATTCAGGCTTAATTCGGGGAACTGGAGCACAGATCCAATTCCCTAAATCAAGAGCCCCTCACCAACATCAAGGAACCTTCCTTGAGGGTTTTTTACGGGAAACTAAACTTGTTGTAACTTTCCAGGGAGGTGTCTTGATGCCCGGAAGGTCTCTTGATTAAATTAAATGGAACTACCCTCTCTCCTTGAACCTTGATTGCCTCTCATACCCCTGGAGCTGTATGACCCCTGAGAGTTTAGCGCTTCCTCAATGAATGTATTAATAATAATAATTTCTTTATTTCTACAAGTACATGTACAAGGTATATACACTATATCAAGGTACAGTATATAGTCCCGTAGCTCGATCACTAGCGCACTCAGCTCACACACCGAGGTCCGGGGTTCGAATCCCCTCCGGTAAGGCTGGAAAACATTAGGGACGTGTTTCCGTAAGACACCTGCTGTCCCTGTCCCCAAAATAGGTACCTGGGTGTTAGTGGACTGGTGTGGGTCGCATCCTGGGACAAAACTGACCTAATCCTTGCACATGTACTTGTAGTAAATAAATATATTATTATTAATGACATACTATGTAGAAATCCGCTTGTTATGCTGAGCATTTCGGGCAAATTATGTCAGTTCTGTCCCAGGATGCGACCCACACCAGTCTACTAACACCCAGGTACGTATCTTATACTGATGGGTGAACATGGACAACAGGTGTCTTAAAGAAACACGTCCTAATGTTCGCCAGCCGTACCGGAGATTCGATCCCCGGACCTCTGTGTGAGGCGAGTGCGCTACCGATCTAGCCACAGGACACTGTATAATTATAACAGACCAGTTGAACTAACTGGAGGTATTAATGTTATCTGCACACTGCCGTTTATATAATGTTAATAATAAAATGACAGCATAATGGAAGTGTATTTATTATTTATTAATACATAAAAAGAGTATGCTTATGCCAATGTACGAATAAATATTTCTTTTTTTATGAAGAATTTATTAAATTTTTTGACGCTCTATGACCTCTAAGGGTTTAGCGCTCCCTATGATGTTAATGCAAAAACTGATTTTTTTTTTTTTGAGAATCAATCATGTAATGAAATGTGGAAATGTGATGTAAAATCCATCATGTGTGATAGATAAATTAGATAAACAATTATATCTTGGTGCAACTGTCAGTGCTGTATGACTGTATGACCTTTGTGGGTTTAGCGCTTGGTTGTTGATAATAATTATTATTATTATTATAATCAAGGGGGAAGCGCTAAACCCGGAGGATTATACAGCGCCTGGGGGGGGGGTGGAAGGCATTCAGGCTTAATTCGGGGAACTGGAGCACAGATCCAATTCCCTAAATCAAGAGCCCCTCACCAACATCAAGGAACCTTCCTTGAGGGGTTGATAATAATAATTGGTATAAGTACAGTATACAGAGGTGAGGTGAGCACCACAATGGACTGTCAATTATGATAAAGTTTTTACAGTCTACTTTAATATATTTATAGTATGTTTACAAAACATTAACTTGGCGATATTATAGTACATTATTTAAGACATTTTAAGTGTCAGTAAAGATATGTGAGAGAGAATAATGTAGTAATGCACAGCGCTAGTGGCTGTCTTCTGTTATTAACAACATTTTATTACATGTAAATTATATTTTATATACTGCAGAAAACAAATAAAAGTTGTATAATAAAGTAAATTAAGAGGCGGCCATAAGAGGCATTTAACAAAACTTTACACAATCGCATTTAAAGATACATTTAAATATTAAATACCATGTATTTAGTGCTTCTATTTTTCTTAGTTTTATTAATGAGTTTATTATATATACAAGTGAGTAGTAATATTTTCCAATAAAATATAAAACAAAAGTAGAAACTTTGAACGTGTGTGAGGAAACATCGTGATTGGTGGAGAGCGCCGCCGCTCCACCAATCAGCGACAACCTTGTGCCAGCATCACCAAATTTGAAGTGCTGATGTCCTCTACATTTTATTATTGAGCTTATTAATCACAAAGGAGGCCGCGCTTTTAATTTTGACGAGGGTGTGGATGAGCAACAAGGTAGAGTGTACGGTGATGGCTAGTGATCAAGAGGGAGGAAGAGTGTAGAGTGGTGTGAAATATAAGAATAAGAAGGTGGTAGTGAACCAACGACCTGCTGTTTATTTACGTGTGGCAGCCAAGTCTTACTCTCCTGGTTAATTATTACAATATTTCTCACTCTGCACAACACCGTGAGTCCTCCACACTAATACTCACACTTGAGGCTTCACCTCTGTCTTATATATAGTCTAGAATAACAAGTTGTGTAGTATTATATATGAATGATATACAATATGGACAAGAAGAATTAAACACGTGTATAATATCTTATTATATTTGATTGTAGAAGTCTCCTCATCCACTGGCTTTATAAATACAATACAAGGACACAATGTGAAGACTATAGTCCCTCAACCTAGCAGTAGGTGTGAAGAGCACCATAGATAACTATGGTGCTCTTCGCACCTACTGCTAGGTTCAGGGACTGATTACCTCATCTTCTGTACATAGTTCTCCTGTCTTCAAGTTATGTCCTGGAATTTGTATTGATAAAGCCACTGGATGGCGAAACGTCTACAATAAAGATACCCAGATGTTGCACATGTCTCAATTTCAGTCTTCACATTCTTCAACATCCAAATTTTCGGCCTCACAACCGAAAATTTTCAAGGCAAAATATCTTTGAAAGTGTTTGCGTGTGTATTTTCATCTCTGAATTATTTAAAACTTAATCCAAGATAATCAAACAACAGTCAGGGCTTCCTGACTCAGGTTGTTGTGTACTATACCATAATATAGCTATAGAATTAAGTGTATTTAAACTAAAAAAAATATCAAATGCACCGGCAGCTTCTTCATCTTAAAAAGCCTATAAACAGCGAGTGGAGAAAAGTAATTTTGATGGCTTTACATGGAAGTATGAGTATGGTAACAGTATGAGGGGATGAGTATGGTAACAGTATGAGGGGATGAGTATGGTAACAGTATGAGGGGATGAGTATGGTAACAGTATGAGGGGATGAGTATGGTAACAGTATGAGGGATGAGTATGGTAACAGTATGAGGGATGAGTATGGTACAGTATGAGGGGTGAGTAGGACAGTATGAGGGGATGAGTATGGTAACAGTATGAGGGGATGAGTATGGTAACAGTATGAGGGGATGAGTATGGTAACAGTATGAGGGGATGAGTATGGTAACAGTATGAGGGGATGAGTATGGTAACAGTATGAGGGGATGAGTATGGTAACAGTATGAGGGGATGAGTATGGTAACAGTATGAGGGGATGAGTATGGTAACAGTATGAGGGGATGAGTATGGTAACAGTACTGTTTGGTAATAGAGTTGTGGATGAGTGGAACAAACTCCCAAGTACCGTTATAGAGGCCAGAACGTTGTGTAGCTTTAAAAATAGGTTGGATAAATACATGAGTAGATGTGGGTGGGTGTGAGTTAGACCTGATAGCTTGTGCTAACAGGTCGGTTGCCGTGTTCCTCCCTTAACTCAATGTGACCTGACCTGACTAGGTTGGGTGCATTGGCTTAAGCCGGTAGGGACTTGGACCTGCCTCGCATGGGCCAGTAGGCCTTCTGCAGTGTTCCTTCGTTCTTATGTTCTTATGTTCTTATGAGTATGGTAACAGTATGAGGGGATGAGTATGGTAACAGTATGAGGGGATGAGTATGGTAACAGTATGAGGGGATGAGTATGGTAACAGTATGAGGGGATGAGTATGGTAACAGTATGAGGGGATGAGTATGGTAACAGTATGAGGGGATGAGTAAGGTAACAGTATGAGGGGATGAGTATGGTAACAGTATGAGGGGATGAGTATGGTAACAGTATGAGGGGATGAGTATGGTAACAGTATGAGGGGATGAGTATGGTAACAGTATGAGGGGATTCAGGGAAAACTGGATAGCTGGACTTTAGTCCTGGACCTGTGAAGTACAATACCTGCACTCTGAAGTAACAGTAAAAAATGTTGTAATTCATAATCATTTGAATTGTGATGTCTGCACAATTTTGGTAAGACAGCCACTGAATGATTTTTTTTTTTTGGGGGGGGGGGGGGAGACCACCTTGGTAGTATATGGCTATTCACTGGATTTATTTTACACTGCCTCCTACTCAGTGTAACTTCAGTAGGTTATGTAGTGTGTAGATTTTAAACCAAGATAGTTTAATTGCAGTTCATATACCACTACTTAATGATTTTGCATGACTGAACTACATCCTGCACAGGTAGTGTTTCTGTTTTACTGCAAAAAAAAAATACACATACATTAATTTAATACTTTGTATTCCTGCAGGCTGTATGATGGCCTCACGTCCAAATACCCGAGGCTTAACAACTCGAAACCAAGTGAACAAGAAAGTACAAGTTGTGAAGATTCACAATGAGAACTCCAATCGTCCACCATTACCTGGAAAACCCAGCTCAAGCTTTCTCCGTGATACTACAAATAAAGTGCTAAGGCTGAAACGTAAGGCTGAAGGTGCTCCTGAGGAAGAGAAGGTCACCAAAAAGAGGTCTGCTTTTGGTGATCTTACAAATGTAAGACCTTGTCTGTTGTGTTGATGCATATACAGTAAACCCTCGATATAATGGACTTTTTAAATAATGTGCAAAGTCTGCTGTATAATTTGCATTACTATTAATTTCAAAGTTTAGTGCAATATAACTAAATGGTGTGTACAGCACAATTTTAGATATACAGTAGAGCACCTATCTTTATTATTATTATGATTATTATTATTATTATTATTTTCTAGCATTTTTCTGATAAAGGACACTTGGATAACCCCCCCCCCTGCCCCTTTAGTCTGTTACATGAACGGTTTACTATATTTGTATTCACAAAATGTGTAGTCATGTAATTTATGATTTCATATTTTTATATGTTTAAATTAGATTTGTGAAGGGATTCAAGGTAGCTGGTTAACTGAACTTAGTCCTGGAAGTGGGAAGGGCAGTGCCTCCAGAGGGTAATCTGATTGTCAGCACACCTCTGCAAAGATGATTGATTAACATCTTTTCTTTGGGTCACCCTACCTTGATAGGAAATGGCCGTTCAGTCGAAAAAAAAATACATGGTATAACAATTACAGTGGTCCCTCGATAATCGTAGGGCTCGATAGTCTTAATTTTCGGAAATCATAACGATATTTTCGTCAAAACATTGGCTCGCTAATCGTAGATTGACTTGCGAATAGTCATTCGTCCGGGATGTGTACTCGCATCGTATTCCATTCATTTTAGTGCTTGCAACTACTAAATAAGCTACCATGGCTCCAAAGAAAGCTCCAAGTGCCAAGCCTTTGGTAAAGAAGGTGAGAAATAAGATTGAATTTAAGAAAAAACATCATTGAACAATATGAAAGTGGCGTATGTATGGCCGAACTGGCCAGGATGTATAACAAACCCCATACAACCATAGCTTCCATCGTGGCCAAGAAAAAGGAAATCAAGGACGCTGTTGTTGTAAAGGGGGTAAATATGCTGACAAAAATGAGATCACCAGTACTCGAAGAGGTTAAGTTATTATTGGTGTGGATAAACAAGAAACAATCAGCAAGAGATAGTCTTATGATGTCGATTATTTGTGAAAAGGCTAGGCAGTTGCACGACGATCTGGTAAAGAAATTGCCTGTAACTAGTGGTGATGTGAGTGAATTTAAGGCCAGCAAAGGTTGGTTTGAGAGATTTAAGAACCGTAGTGGCATACACAATGTGGTAAGGCATGATGAGGCTGCCAGTTTGGACCACAAAGTGGCTGAAAAATATGTGCAGGAATTCAAGGAGTACATAGAGGCTGAAGGACTGAAACCTGAACAAGTGTTCAATTGTGACGAAACAGGCCTCTTTTGGAAGAAAATGCCAAAGAGGACCTACATTACTCAGGAGGAAAAGGCACTGCCAGGACACAAACCTATGAAAGACAGGCTGATGCTCATGTTCTGTGCTAATGCTAGTGGGGATTTCAGAATGAAGCTGTTGCTAGTGTACCATTCTGAAAATCCCAGAGAGTTCAGGAAAAACAATGTTATGAAGAGTAAATTGTGTGTGTTTTGGAAATCTAATATTATTATTATTATAATCAAGGGGGAAGCGCTAAACCCGGAGGATTATACAGCGCCTGGGGGGGGGGGATGTGGAAGGCATTCAGGCTTAATTCGGGGAACTGGAGCACAGATCCAATTCCCTAAATCAAGAGCCCCTCACCAACATCAAGGAACCTTCCTTGAGGGGAGGAAATCTAATAGTAAGGCATGGGTCACGAGGGAAATTTTCGTCGAGTGGTTCAATGAAGTGTTTAGCCCTAGTGTGAAGAATTACCTCCTGGAAAAGAAATTGGATCTCAAGTGCCTGTTAGTAATGGACAATGCACCTGCTCATCCTCCAAACTTGGATGACCTAATTTTCGAGGAGTTTGGGTTCATCACAGTAAAGTTCTTGCCCCCGAATACCACTCCTCTCCTCCAGCCCATGGACCAGCAGGTCATTGCAAACTTTAAAAAAAAATACACCAAAGCAATGTTTCAAAGGTGCTTGAATGTGACCTCAGACACTCACTTGACCCTAAGAGATTTTTGGAGAGAACACTTCAGCATCCTCCACTGCATAAGCCTTATAGGTAAGGTTTGGGAGGGAGTGACTACCAGGACTTTGAACTCTGCTTGGAGAAAATTGTGACCAGATTGTGTCCACAAGAGGGATTTTGAAGGGTTTGGGGCTGACCCTGATGAGCCTATGTCTGTTGTTAAATCTATTGTGGCACTGGGGAGTTCCATGGGGTTGGATGTGAGTTTGGAGGATGTGGAAGAGTTGGTGGAAGACCACAACGAAGAGCTCACCACTGAGGAGCTGCAAGAGCTTCAGCAGGAAGACCAACAGATCGCAGCTCAGAATCTTGCTGCAGAGGAGGAGGAAGAGAGATGGAAGAAGTTGCCTTCTTCAGAAATTAAGGAGATTTTTGAAATGTGGGGTAAGATGGAAAGATTTATGGAGAAACATCACCCTGACAAGGCTGTTGCAAGCCATGTTGGCAACATGTACAGTGACGAAGTCTTGGCCCATTTTAGGGAAGTGTTAAAGAGACGCCAGAAACAGAGCTCTCTGGACAGTTATTTTGCGAGACAGGACTCCAGTGACTCTAAAGCTGGTCCTAGTGGCATTAAGAAACAGAGAAGAGAGGTAACCCCAGAAAAGCAATTGGTACCTGAGGTGTTGATGGAAGGGGATTCCCCTTCCAAACTGTAAATAATTAAATCTCTCTCCTCCTCCAGTCTTCCATACACTAAGAAGAATCGCCAATAAAGGTAAGTGTTATGCTGTTAATGTTTCATTCATCATGTCCCATTGTATTGTTTATGTACTACATCTATATTATGAGGATAGTGAGGCTCAGGTTAGGGTGTGTAGAAGAGAGGGAGAATACTTCCCGGTAAAAGTAGGTCTTAGACAGGGATGTGTAATGTCACCATGGTTGTTTAATATATTTATAGATGGGGTTGTAAAAGAAGTAAATGCTAGGGTGTTCGGGAGAGGGGTGGGATTAAATTATGGGGAATCAAATTCAAAATGGGAATTGACACAGTTACTTTTTGCTGATGATACTGTGCTTATGGGAGATTCTAAAGAAAAATTGCAAAGGTTAGTGGATGAGTTTGAGAATGTGTGTAAAGGTAGAAAGTTGAAAGTGAACATAGAAATGAGTAAGGTGATGAGGGTATCAAATGATTTAGATAAAGAAAAATTGGATATCAAATTGGGGAGGAGGAGTATGGAAGAAGTGAATGTTTTCAGATACTTGGGAGTTGACGTGTCGGCGGATGGATTTATGAAGGATGAGGTTAATCATAGAATTGATGAGGGAAAAAAGGTGAGTGGTGCGTTGAGGTATATGTGGAGTCAAAAAACGTTATCTATGGAGGCAAAGAAGGGAATGTATGAAAGTATAGTAGTACCAACACTCTTATATGGATGTGAAGCTTGGGTGGTAAATGCAGCAGCGAGGAGACGGTTGGAGGCAATGGAGATGTCCTGTCTAAGGGCAATGTGTGGTGTAAATATTATGCAGAAAATTCGGAGTGTGGAAATTAGGAGAAGGTGTGGAGTTAATAAAAGCATTAGTCAGAGGGCAGAAGAGGGGTTGTTGAGGTGGTTTAGTCATTTAGAGAGAATGGATCAAAGTAGAATGACATGGAAAGCATATAAATCTATAGGGGAAGGAAAGAGGGGTAGGGGTCGTCCTCGAAAGGGTTGGAAAGAGGGGGTAAAGGAGGTTTTGTGGGCGAGGGGCTTGGACTTCCAGCAAGCGTGCATGAGCGTGTTAGATAGGAGTGAATGGAGACGAATGATACTTGGGACCTGACGATCTGTTGGAGTGTGAGCAGGGTAATATTTAGTGAAGGGATTCAGGGAAACCGGTTATTTTCATATAGTCGGACTTGAGTCCTGGAAATGGGAAGTACAATGCCTGCACTTTAAAGGAGGGGTTTGGGATATTGGCAGTTTGGAGGGATATGTTGTGTATCTTTATATGTGTATGCTTCTAGACTGTTGTATTCTGAGCACCTCTGCAAAAACAGTGATAATGTGCGAGTGTGGTGAAAGTGTTGAATGATGATGAAAGTATTTTCTTTTTGGGGATTTTCTTTCTTTTTTGGGTCACCCTGCCTCGGTAGGAGACGGCCGACTTGTTGAAAAAAAAAAAAAAAAAATGTATGTATGTATGAAAAACCTTGTCAAAGTAGTACAGTAGTTTTTTTTTTTTTTTTTAAACACTGACAGTCTCCCACTGAGGTAAAAGAAGAAACATTCACCATTACTCATTCCATCACTGTCTTGCCAGAGGCATGCCAATACTTCATTTCAGATGCCTCCAAACTGTAATATCCCCACTCCTGTACTTCACACCTCTAGGACTCCGACTAGCTGGTTTCCCTGAATCTCTCAGGTGCATAAACACTGCACTATAACCCATTCCTCTAATACATTTTTTTTTCTAAGTACAATTTGTATATTTAAAAATTAATACCATTTTTTCAATTTAACATTACTGCCACACTTTTAACTTTCCCACCCCTTTATAACTATTGTGCGCATTAGGACCTTAAGCTGACTAATTCATGCTGTATAGACTAATGTAAATTTATTTTAATCTTTTGACATTCACTGACAGGCAATTGAGAAAAAGATTAATGATGGTAAGAAGATCTCAACACAGAAGGGAAGGCTGGTGCGCTCAGGATCCACAGTATCTCTGCACAAGGTGGCCAAACAACCCATTAAAAATGCTGTTCAACCATTATCTATTAAAATAGCTGCACCTGAACTTCCTGTCATCAAAGCTGATCAGACAAAGGTGGCATCATTCTGTGACACGCTTCCCAGCTCGCTAGAGAGAGATTTTCTCCAGGAGATCCCCAAGACTGATCTTGACGATTCTGCTGCCTATGTGACAGCCTCTGAAGGAAGGTACAGTCTCTAAAGTGCTTCAGATCACTGCTCTAGGAAGTGTCATTGTGTAAATTTGTTGCATTTCTATTGCCTACTAAAAATTAAGTTCACAGAAATGCTACAGATAACCTGTTATCAGTTTAGATAAACCTATACCTTGTTTAAAGTCATAGGAGACATGGAATCCTAGAATTGCAGTTGCTATAGAATTTATATACTGTACTATATTTCCTTTACCACATAATGCTTTTCATACTTGGTAATCACTTTCTCTTTAAGCAGAAACTGCTGTTTATAGCAGTGGTATTTGGGTGTTGAAGTTGAACTTAATTAAACTCTTGCAGTGTGAAACTTTCTCTTGGGTACAGATGCATGTGTGCTTATATGGTTCAGTATGAGAGATGCTTCATTCTCTTTGGGAATCTGCATTTTTGTGAAGCCCATAATTGTAAAGCCTCCCCATCCAAATTTGATTTATCTTGTTTATTTCTTGCTGGGAAAATCAAATTCTAGAATTAGATATTGTAACTTAATTTGTGTATCCTTAGCTATTGAATATTTTATGAAGCTTTTATTTATACCACAAAAAATGTAAACTTTATAATTTTCATCAGCATAGCTGGTGAAGTACAGTGGAACCTCGGTTTTCGTGATTAATTCGTTCCACAATGTCTAATGAAAACCGAATTGTACAAAAACTGAAGCAGTATTTCCCATAAGAAATAATGTAAATTCAATTAATCCATTCCAAATACCAAAAAAAATATTAAAAAATACATTTTATAGAGAATAATTATAGTTTTACATACAGAAAATAATGAGAAATAAATATAAATGACTAATGAAATGGATATATGAACATTTAACATCACTTTTACCTTTACTGAAGATTCTTGTTGGCGTATGGAACACGGCAAGGAGGAGGAGAGGTTATTGTTTGGAAGGGGAATCCCCTCCCCCCCATTAGAACTTCAGGTATCAAGGCCCCATCTGGGGTTACTTCCCTTCTTTGTCTCTTACTGGCACTAGGACCACCTTGAGTCACTGCACCCTGTCTCACAAAAAAACTGTCCAGAGAGGTCTGTTTTTGGTATCTCTTTAAGATTTGTCTAAAATGGGACATGTTGCAGACATGGCTTGCAACAGCTTTGTTACGGTGATATTTCCCCACAAAATTTTGCACCTCATTCAACTTTGCAAACATGTCCTTAATCACTGAAGAAGGCACATTCTTCCCTCTGTCTTCCTCCTCCTCTGAAGTAATTTCCTCAGCTGCAGTCTGTTGCTGTTCCAGCTGAAGGTCTTGCAGCTCTTCAGTGGTTCTCTTCCCTGTGGTCGTCCACCAACTCTTCCACCAAAACACTATCTCCCGCTAGCTGTTTTTTGTTGATCCACACCAGCAGCAACTTCTCAACATCTTTGATTGTTTGCGATCTCTGTTTCGTTAGCACATTTACCCCTTTCGCAACATCAGCTTCCTTGATTTCTTTTTTCTTCACCAGGATGGAACTGATCGTTGATGCAGACCTCCCATACATCCTGGCGAGATCGGCCACGCGTACGCCATTTTTGTACTTTGGTACGAGTTCTTTCTTGAATTCTATCGTGTGTCTCGCTTTCTTTATCTAAGGGCTGGCACTCAGAACTTTCTTTGGCCCCATGGTGGCTTATTTAGCAGTCGCACTCAACAAACACAAAAAAACAATGGATTATTACAAAACATTATCCGAACCCGCGCGGTAATGTTCACTCAATGAGAAACAACGCCAGACTGAGTCAGAATGCATGGGATGCTTTGTGTGGGCATGGGCAATCAGACTCATTTGGTACAGACCATTGTCGACTCTACGAAAACCAAGCAGATGTATGAAAACGGACAAAATTTAGACAAAAAGTCATCGAAAACTGAGTCCTATGAAAACCAGGGCATACGAAAACCAAGGTTCCACTGTATATAGGCAAAAATATTTGATAAACAAGGTCCCTGCTCTGCATGTCCCAAAAGTAGCAAGTGTATTTGTAGAACAATCTAGATACTATGTAATTGCATGTGTTCAAAGAGTGGGTGACCATTGAGCGGTGCATGCTCTGTGCAAGCATTGTGGTTTCTCAAGACATAAATGGGTTAGAGATGGAAAAAATGCCAGTGAATCTGTAATTATGGCTTTTTCATTCAAGAATAATGGTTTACTTTCATAAGCTTCCTTCATTGCACTTGTATGAACTTACTAGCTATTACATTCTATCTAGGAACTTGACGCGAGTGATAAGAAGTCTCATGAGCTTGCTTACTGTGTGTGTGCGTGTGTGCGTACATACGTACTCACCTATATGTGGTTGCAGGGGTCAAGTCAGAACTAGCCCCCGCCTCTTCACTGATTGCTACTGGATCCTCTCTTCCTGCTTCATGAGCTTTATCATACCTTGTCTTAAAACTATGTATGGTTCCTGCCTCCATTATATCACTTGCCAAACTGTTCCACTTCCTGACAACTCTGTTTAAGAAATAATTCCTGACATCCCTTTGACTCAGACGAGTCCTCAACTTCCAATTGTGACCCTTTGTTTCTGTGTCCCATCTCTGGAACATCCTGTCAGTCCACCTTGTCAATTCATTGCAGTATTTTGTATGTCGTTATGATGTCTCCCCTAACCCTCCTGTCCTCCAGTGTTGTCAGGTCAATTTTCCTTAACCGTTCTTTATAGGGTATTTGCCTTAGCCCTGGAACGAGTCTTCTTGCAAACCTTTACTTTTTTTTTTTTTTTTCCTCCAACAAGTCGGCTGTCTCCCACCGAGGCAGGGTGACCTAAAAAGAAAGAAAATTCCCAAAAAGAAAATACTTTCATCATCATTCAACACTTTCACCTCACTCACACATAATCACTGTTTTTGCAGAGGTGCTCAGAACACAACAGTTTACAAGGAGGGGTGTTAATGTTGCAGTTTAAAAACTGTAGTGTAAAGCAACCTTCTGGCAAGACAGTGATGGAGTGAATGATGGTGAAAGTTTTTCTTTTTCGGGCCACCCTGCCTTGGTGGGAATCGGCCAGTGTGATAATAATAAAAATAAACAACATATTCCTCCAAACTGCTAATATCCCAAACCCCTTCTTTAGAGTGCAGGCATTGTACTTCCCATTTCCAGGACTCGAGTCCGGCTATATAAAAATAACTGGTTTCCCTGAATCCCTTCACTAAATATTACCCTGCTCACACTACAACAGATCGTCAGGTCCCAAATACCATTCGTCTCTATTCACTCCTATCGAACACGCTCATGCACACCTGCTGGAAGTCCAAGCCCCTCACCCACAAAACCTCCCTTACCCCTTCCTTCCAACCTTTTCGAGGATGACCCCTACCCCGCTTTCCTTCTCCTACAGATTTAAATGCTCTCCATGTCATTCTACTTTGATCCATTCTCTCTAAATGACCAAACCACCTCAACAATCCCTCTTCAGCCCTCTGACTAATACTTTTATATACTCCACATCTTCTCCTAATTTCCACACTCTGAATTTTCTGCATAATATTTACACCACACATTGCCCTTACAGGACATCTCCACTGTCTCTAACCTCCTCCTTGATGCTACATTCACAACCCAAGCTTCACACCCATATAAGAGTGTTGGTACTACTATACTTTCATACATCCCTTCTTTGCCTCCATAGATAACGTTTTTTGACTCCACATATTCCTCTACGCACCACTCGCCTTTTTTCCCTCATCAATTCTATGATTAACCTCATTATCATTGCCCAATAATTGTCCAACCATTCTAATATGCAGTCATGAATGAGTTGACATTATTTATACAATTATTACAATATTGCAGTAGTCTGCATAACAGTAAACCTTCTATTTTTTGTTTGAATAAAAATCCAAAATAGAAAGCAAGAGTAATATCAGAGGGGCCTGGAGATGTGACTGATGAACAAAGAAAATTTTATTTTAGAGCTAGGAATATCTGCATTGTTCATTCTGGACCCTTTCTTGAAATTGGCATATTTTTTAATTTGTGTGAAATTGGTCAAATTGCAAATTTCTGACCACGTTATTGGGTAGTTGAAATCAGTAAATGGGCGATTTCTTGTACTCAGTCGATAGAACAAATGGAGTTCTAAAGAAATAGCTGAGAGTTTGGTCGATTGGAACAATGGAATTAACCGAAAATAGGGCTCAAAGTGGGCGAAATCGCCAATTCATAAATATCGCCACAGCCGCTAACTTCGCGAGATCGTAATTCTTTAAGTTTGCGATCAAATTTCATTACCATCAGGAAAAGATTCTCTATCATTTCATGTTCCCCCCCACCCCAAAAAAAAATTCGACACCAGGAGACACCTCAGGATTTGGGGTTGGGACAGTCAAAGGGTTAATAAAATATGTTTTCTAAATTGCTCTAATTGACATTTCATGAGTAAGCTTTATTAATTAATGCATATTATATTGCATTATATTAAATTTCATGTAAGAATATAAGAATAGAGGAACACTGAAGAAGGCCTACTGATCCATACAAGGCAGTTTCTTATCAAAACCACCCCTTTCCAAAGCTACCCAAGAATTTACTCCCGTACTCACGACACCAATCAAACTCAGCCTGTCCCACTCTTATCTGTCCAATCTCTTCTTAAAGCTACCCAGGGTCCTAGCCTCAATTACCCTACTTGGAAGATTGTTCCATGCATTGACCACTCTGTTTGAAAACCAGTACTTGCCTATGTCCTTTTCAAATAAATTTATCCAACTTAACTCCATTATTCCTGGTTCTTACCCGAGTCGATATCCTCAGTATTTCATTAATATCACCTTTGTTTATGCCCATCATCCACTTGTACGCTTTGATATCTCCTCTCATTCTTCGTCTCTCAAAATAATGAAGATTCAAGGATCTAAGTCTGTCTTCATTTGGGAGATTCCTTATACAGTGAATCATTTTAGTCATCCTTCTCTGTATGTTCTCCAATGTTTACTGTAATCATACTTTACTGATATCCCCAGCCCACTGATAACAAGATCTTCATTATTAAATAAAGTGGAAGAGAAGCCTCGGTTGCCAGATGGGGTGGAAGATTATGATGAGGAGATGGTGGGCGACCCTTTTGCCATCTCCATTTATGCTTCTGATATTTTCATTTACTACAAAGAAAGAGAAGTAAGCATATTGTAAGATAGGGTAAGGGCTGCAGGGTATACGTATTAGTGACTATTTTATAAATTTTAAGTAGTTTTTAAACAAATATTCAACATTAAAATTTGTGTACTAATAGTAATATTAGTAGATCTTGAGATCAGAGTGGGTTGTTTGGCACAGTGATTGGCAGATGCTTGTGCTGCTGCTAATTGCATTACACACTACCCACTTGTACTCTAACAGCTTCATCTTTGTTAAATGAAGAGGACGAAATGGAGGCAGATATAAGTGAAAATATTTAGTTAAAGGTAGGGAAGCTTTTGTTGCTTTTATGGATTGAGAAAGGACATATGATAAGGTGGATAGGGGAGCAATGTGACAGGTTGCAAGTGTATGAAATAAATAGCAAGTCATTAAATGCTGTAAAGAGTTTTCATAAAGATAGTGAGGTTCAGGTTAGGATGTGTAGGAGATAGGGAGATTACTTTCCAGTAAAAGTAGGTCTTAGACAGGGATGAGTAATGGCACCATGGTTGTTTAACATATTTATAGATGGGGTTGTTAAGGAAGTAAATGCCAAAGTGTTGGAGAAGGGTGGGATTAAATTATGCAGATTGAAATACAAAATGGGAGTTGACAGTTACTTTTTGCTGCTGATATTGTGCTTTTGGGAGATGCTGAACAAAAGTCGCAGAGGTTACTGGAAGAGTTTGGGAGGGTGTGTAAAGGAAGAAAGTTGAAAGTGAACATAGATAAGAGTAAGGTGATGAGGGAGGAGATCAAACGAGTTGGGTAAGGAAAAATTGGATATCACATTGGAATGAGAAAGTATGGAAGAAGTGAATGTGTTCAGATATTTGGAGAGAAAGTATAGAAGAAGTGAATGTGTTCAGATATTTGGAGATGGCCATCGTGTTAAAAAAAAATATCAGTGTGAAAGGAGTAAAGCTTGATATTTTTTTAAATGTGTTTAAAGTTTGCTTGACTAATGTTTGGTTTCCTGCAGTTTTTGAGTAAGACAGAGGTGATAAGTTTATTACTCTTACTGAAGTTACAATAAGATACTTTTTATACATATGTCACCCTGCCTTAGTGGGAGACAGCCAGCATCTTAGGTAAAAAATTATATATTTTTTTTATTTTAATTTATGTATTTATTTATTTTTTATATTTTTCAGAAAAACTTTCAGATTGACAAGTATATTGAACGACAACCAGATGTATCTCGGAGCATGAGAGCAATCTTGATTGACTGGATGGTTGAGGTTCAGGTAGGTGGAGTGTAAGCAAGGTAATATCTAAGAAGAGATTCAGGCAAACTGGTTAGTTGCATTTGTGCGCTGGAAGTGGAAATCTTGCAGTTTTGTGAATAATTTGAACTGTTATATTTGTACTATTCTAGAAATATAGCTTGGGAATGACTAATAATGTATGGTTTTCTATTTAGGGTTAACTTGCCTTTTCATGAAATAGTGTTAGAAAAACAGAAGTCAGTGCTGCAGGTGGTTGGTGGAAGTTAGTTAAATTAGAAATTCATGGTAAGTGTCTTTACATGTGGATGGGTTTGCTGATAGTGGCTTTGGTGGGTAATGTATTTAGAAACCTTTCTTTAACTTCTAAAACAAAAGTGGAATGAAGTGACTGACATTAGATGTAGACTGGTATTCCAGAATAAGTATAACAGGACTATTTCACATTCAGTTGAAAATTTAGAAGTGGGAACATAGTCCTTCCCCCTTTTCCTGCTAAATCAAATAGTACAGTCATGTTTGTGTGTATTAAATAAGTTCATTATTTTTTGGTGAGTTAACAAATGTTTATTTTTCTCTTCAGGAATCATTTGAACTGAATCATGAAACCCTTTACCTTGCTGTAAAATTAGTGGATCTATACCTGTCCAGAGTTGTAATAAAGCGTGATGTCCTGCAATTAATTGGATCAACAGCCATGTTCATTGCTTGTAAATTTGATGTAAGTTACTAACAGATACTATTTTGGATCTTAAAAATATATTGTTGGTTATTGTTTACAATACTCTACATTATATCTTGAGCAACATATTTTCCCAGTAAATAATTTATATATAAAATGTCCTGTATTTCACAGGAAAGGACCCCACCCTATGTTGATGACTTCCTGTACATCTGTGATGATGCGTATAAGAGGAAGGAGCTAATATCTATGGAGATAAAGATTCTTAAAGTGGTCGGCTTTGACTTGGGAATTCCGCTTTCCTATAGATTTTTACGAAGATATGCCAGGGTATGTTTTTTCCAGAAGATAATTTTAGTTTTATCAGAGGTAAAAATTAAAAACATACAGAAGTAACTTTCTAAATTTACAATGTGGTATACTGTATAAGACTGGGTTTTGTAAATATTCGGATTTTGTAATGACTAATTTGATTTCTTGTTATAGTTGGGACTTTCTTTGTGGTTAATTTTTAATTCATTGCAGTGTGCCAAGGTGAACATGGAGGACCTTACGTTTACTCGCTACATCTTAGAGATGAGTTTAATGGATTATGAACTGGTAGATTTGGCAGATTCTGCTCTTGCAGCTGCTGCTCTTCTGCTAACCAGAATCATTAAAGGAGAGCCCACTTGGACCCCCACATTACAATATTACTCAGGTTCGAACAACTACTTGACATGTAATAAAAGCTTCATCCAGGCAGATTATAATTTTGTTTTATAGTGAAGAACTGTAGGTAAAAGACACTTAAGCACTGTTCAAGAAGCTTGTTAAGAAAACTTTTTGCCATGCACGGCTTCTTTCATGGCAGAATGCTTCCTTATTAAATGTCTTCATCAGTGCATATGTATTTTTTTTTATATACAAACTTGTCAGTATCACCATGCCAGTTCCACCATTTCAGACAGGTAAACAACTATAACTGTAGGGGGTATATAGCACCTAGGAAATGAGAGGGAATCAGATTTAATCCACAGGAGAGAGTGGCTGCAATATTTTTAATCAAGAGCCCTTCAAAAGCAAACCCCTTTAAGAGAATACACATAGGAGATGAAAAATTTTGGAATGCATTATGAAGGTCTAACTACATTCATTTTAAGTTATGACTATTGAGAGACTCCAAAGGCTAATAATTATGTAAAGTGGATTTATCATAGTAAATGGATATTTTTACTGTAAGAATGCGATTGGCTAACATTTTTAAAAAATCAGTAAGGTTAGGATTAGACAGAATTTTGAATGGATAAGTAATCTAACTTGAATGAGGTGGCATTACCCATTCTCTTTACCTCCATATTGCCCTTTCCTTAGATACTGATTATGCGTCCTTGTGCCTCCCTTGTACTTTCTCACTGTTATAGCGCTATGGAGGGCCTTGAATGTTTTAATGCCATCCTTATGCTTAGCACACATTGCTTACTAATCCAGGCAGGTGGTATCTTTATTTCCACACTAGCAAATTGCCATTTGCTAGCTTCCATAGAAAGGCATATAATATAAAAAGATTTATCCACAGTTCATCTGAAGTGAGGCTGGATATTTAATGCTAAGTGCACATATAGCACTTACATATAAGCAGTGATTTGGTGGGGCACAAATTAATTTTTTCTAGCTGTCTTTAATATTGTTGCAGGATATCAAATGCAGGATCTGTACCATACGGTTCATTTACTCCATAGCATGATTTGCCAGCCACCCAAAGAACACTTGAAGACTATCAGGAATAAATACTCACACAAGTAAGTTGTTTATTAGATTTTTTGACATGTATACTTTTTCTTCCATTTTAAATAACATCCCACTAAAGATGGTCTATCCCCAAGCAAAAACTATAGTACAGTGGACCCCCGACTTACGATATTAATCCGTTCCAGAGAGCACATCGTAAGTCGAATTAATTTTCTCCATAAGAAATAATGGAAATCAAATTAATTTGTTCAAGACACCCAAAAGCATTAAAAAAAATTTTTTTACCACATGAAATATGCATTTTCCTGCACACAAAAAGGATACATGCACAATATATATTGTGCATGTACTAGTCACCCTGCCTCGGTGGGAGATGGCCGACTTGTTGAAAAAAAAAAAAATATGTACTAGTGTACTAAATTAAGAATAAATGGCACCTTTATTGAAGATGTGATAAAGAATGAGACTGTTTGTGTCCTAGGAGTGCATTTTCCTCCTGAGTAATGTAGGTCCTGTTTGGCATTTTCTTCCAGAACAGGCCTTATCACACTGTGTATGCCACTACAATTCTTTAATCTCTCAAACCAACCTTTGCTGGCCTTAAATTCACCAATATGAGCACTAGTTCCAGGCATTTTTTCCTGTTCACCTGGGTGTTAGTCAACTGGTGTGGGTCGCATCCTGGGGGACAAGATTAAGGCCCCCAATGGAAATAAGTTAGACGGTCATCGATGACGCACTGACTTTCTTGAGTTATCCTGGGTGGCTGACCCTCTAGGGTTAATTGTTTCTCAGTATTCTTGATAAGCCCATGGTGGCTTATTTAACAGTTACAAGCACTAAAAACACTGAAATAATACAAAATTTATCGAATGTGTGCATGCAACCGTCCGCCCTGGCTTGTAAACAATGTCACACTAGCTCAGCTGAGGCGCTCGGGCCAGACAGCTGCGTTTGGGACGAATGATGTAAGTCAAGTTTTTCAAAGTAGGTCAGGGTCAAATTTGTACGCTGACAAGCATTGCAAGTCAGTTTTATCGTAGGTTGAGGCCAGCGTAAGTCGGGGGTCCACTGTATATTCTTTTTTCTGAAGGGATTCAAAGAAACAGTTAGCCAGACTTAAGTCCTGGAGGTGGGAAGTACCTCCTGTGTGCCTGTGGTAAGACAGTGATAGTATGAGTGAATGTTTTTTTTTTTTTTTTAAGGGGGCATCCAAGGTTGGGTGGGAGGCCAGTGTGTTAAAAAAAAAAATATTCTTTAACATAACTACAGACTATCCTATATACTGTTGTAATGCAAAAAAAAAAAAATATATATATATAACACTTTCTATTCCAACAAGCAATAATTAAAATTTCTTGCATTTTATACTAGGTCCTTTAACATATCAGTAATTGATTGGCATATTATACATGAAGATATATTTAATTTACAGAGTCTTCTTTGAAGTGGCAAAAATCCCCATTCCAGAGAAGCTAGAATTCTAAGGTAAGATATATGGAACCTGCTGGAGATTGTGTACAAATATTTCTTTTTAAGTGTTGACAAAAACTGGCTTAAAGCCATATTATCACATTACTGACTTGAGTGGTACTAGACCACAGGAGACAGTTTTGTGATCATAAGTACAGATTATGTATTTTGTGATTGTTCTCATGGTGACATGATGTTCTCACTCTTAACTTAAGCTGTTATGATTAAGCAACAGATGCATATCACATCTTTTAGTTTTTTCTGTACCAATTCATGGTATCCATTCTTTTTATTCAGTGTTGGCGACTGAGTGAATGTTGTAGATATACTGTAAATATATGTAGTTAAGGTATTATATAAGGTCTTAAAACTCATTGCTCATTTTTACAAAAATACTTTTACTGTACTCATGACCCATTTATGATATCCGTCTAGCGTAAGACTTGTCCTGAAGATAATACTTTTTGTAATGTGTTGATCACTGGATTAAAAATGTATTAAAAGACAAACATTCACAGTTACACAGTATTTGATTTACCTGTTTGTACCTGTTAATTGTTCTGGGGATAATCATCCCCAGTGACTTGCAAACTTTGTAGTAATGGCATGGTTTAAACTTGAGAATTGGGTAAATAATCCTTAAAACAGATAGATAAGCTGCAATAGAGATAACATTAATCTAGATGGGTATAATGATGGTAATGCTTTTGGTAATAAAAATGCTTAGCAAAAATGTGTACATGTAAGAAGCATTAAAGATAACCATGGAGATTGCTAAAAAAATAATGCATCATAATTTGTAAACATCAGTTCCCTTACTTATAATGTTGTATTGAGGTCTTCTAGTGCCCAACTTCTCGCTTAAAAAGTCAATAAAAATTATATAAAATTCTTTATTTTGATAAATTTGCTGAAATATACTAGCTAACAAAAATGACATAGTACTAGACTTCAGATTCAAATGTAAATTAGTTAAACAAATTTGTATACGATTACAAAGACGGTACTTTTTGGTGAGCAAAGTACTTGTTGAACCTGTGACTGACTTAGGGATAAATCTGATTTACAATGTTGCCATAAATGAAAATAGCATAGGCAGGCCCCGCTTATACAGCAGTTTAGGTTCTGGGCTACTGCTGTAAAGTGAATTTTTTTTTTTTTACTTTCATATGCATATAAAAAACCTGATTTCGTGTTGACACTATCACTTATTAAATGAGCAAGAGCTAGGCCTAAAAATGGCATATACGCACATTATACACATTATGTACTTACCTCAAAATATTTCTGTCCTAAGATTATAGTGAGTGGTGAATATATTTATTGTAGGTCGTCTGAATAAATGAAGAATGGGTATAACTGAAAAATGCTGTACGTATTAGTGAAACACTGTAAAGTGGGGCCTGCTTGTATTTGCCTGAACTGAAATTATCCCTTAACCCATAAATGGTCCAAACGTATATAAATGTTTATTCAACATTTGAAAGTATGTAATTTTTTTTTTTTTTTTTTTTTTGTACATTTGAAAACGTGTAAAAAAAACTGATCTACTTTTGGAGCGCTATGCATGCGAACATAGACCTGCATGGACCGTTTACGGGTTAAGTTAATATAAAATTAAATTTCGATTCTTTTTCTGAACTCTTCATACACCAGCTGACCATTTTCACATTTTTATAATAGGGAAGGAGGTTACTAAATCTATTAAGTCATACAGCATGTAGAGAATAATGGGTAATTAGGATTGATCAAAGGAGGACGACAGATCAAACTCCTTGGATCAAGAGCGCCTCACTGGTATCTAGGAATCTCCCTTGAGGGGTGATCTATCTTGTGTACTGTAGGTACATGGATGTTACTGTTATGGGTTGTAGCTTTGCTACAACCTAGACAAAGCTTCCTGTTAAAAATTGGCAGTTATGTTTTCATGGCTGCTGTTGTACTACCACTTTTATATTTTGACACGTTTAAACATTATAGGTAAATCTGTGGTCGACATTTTTTAACACTGAAATTCCTTGACATACACGGTGGGAGGAGTATGGAAAAACTAAAACCAAATTAGAGCAACATTCTAAATCAGATACTTAATATTTTCCTGAGAATATAATAATAATTATTATCTAAAGATATTTTTGTGCAGAATCCTCTCAAAAGGAGGTTCCTTAAAGCTATTAAGGGGCTTGGTGCAAGAAACTGGACCTATCTTCCACTTCCTTGAATCAAGCCTGACTATGCACCAGATGAGCTGGCCCAGGGCTGGGCTGGAAGTAGGAAAACTCTTGAAAGCCTTCAATGGTATACTTTCTATTCCCTATGTGTAGTGTTCCCGCCCCCCTCCCCGTCCTACCTTTTTTATTTTTTTTGAGTGATATCACTATGTAACCAGTGTGTGAGGTATAAAAGTGCGATAAGTGTGAGGCAAGTTTTTTTTTTTTTAATGTTGCAGTCAGGCAGCAGTGAAGATGTCTAGTTTAAGGTCAGTGTACTGTGAATATTATGTATAGAATAAAAGTGGAGGGGTGAGCTGATTTAGCCATTTAGAAAGGATGGGACAAGATTACTAAGTAACATATACTGTTGGTGTGGCCGGAAGGTCATATATGGGACATCCCAGGAAGGATGTAAGGGGTAGAGAGATTTAACATATTAGAATGGAGAAGAGAAGTATTTCTTCATACTTGTTATACTGGAGTGTAAACAATATAGCCTTTATGAATGAATTTCAGAGACTGGTAAGCCAGACTAGTTTTGGAGGTGGGAACTATTGTTGCACATAAAATTGTAATTACTTTCTATCATTTTAAACTTTAATTGGAAACTAATCTATTATTGTATAGTATTTTCATAAATTAAAACTCGGCCTTTAACAATTTGTCATTAAGAATTTAATTTTTTTATGTTTACCCAAAAATGCTGTGCATATTATGGAAATTATGGCTTTCAAATTACTGTATTATACTTGCCATGTATAATGTCTTGAAATAAAAATAGTGTGATAAAAATAATAGTTTCATTTGTGCTTTTTGGCCTGTGCTTACCTTTGAATAAAACCTGGAAATGCCTGTCCCATTATTTAATCCCCAGGTGCTGTGACTCCTATATGGATTTAGCACGACCTATGAATGTAATAAATTGGGCAAAAGAGGAAGGGGGCAGAGGGGATCCGAGGAATTTGACTTCTCCATTCCTTGGATACTCTGCCTAGCTCTCCATTTTAGGTGTGCTGTATGACCCCTGTGGGACTAGCATCTTTCCCTAAATATACAGTCCGGTAAAATACACTCCAATGTTGTTTCAAATTGACAAATAAGAGCTTTTCAGTTCTGAATAGGAAATAAATGATTTTTTTCTGACTTGCCACAGCTGGTCATGTCAGTTTACACCTCGGTCTCTCAACGAAAAGGTAGGTAAAATTACTAAATTATGTTTTTGTGTTTCTCTCTACTCTCTCGTCTCTCCTCAACTCTCTCTCTCCCTCTCTCTCTCTCTCCTCTCTCTGTCTCATCTTTCTCATCTTTCTTCTCATCCTACTTAAGGGCACGGTCGTCTTTCTCATCATTCTCCTCTCGGATGAAAATCTTTCTCCTTCTTTCCCTCTCTTTCCTCTCTTTCTCTCTTCTCATTCTTCTTCTCTTTTTCTCTCTCTCTCTCTCTCACCGTCTCTCTTGTCTCTCTCTCTCTCTCCCCTCCTCTTCTTCTCTCTCTCATCTCTCTCTCCTCGTTCCGTCTCCTCTTCTTCTCTCCTCTCTCACTCTCTCTCCTCGTGATCACCTCCTCTCTCATCTCTCTCCATCATCTCTCTCTCTCTCTCTCTCTCTCTGCTCTCCTCCTTCTTTCTCTCTTTCTCACTACTCAATCATCTTTCTCACCTTTCTTCTCTTTCTCTCTTATCTCCTCTTTCTCCCTCTTTCTCTCTTTCTCTTTTCTCTCTCTCTCGTCTTTCTCTCTTTCTCTATCTTATCTCCTCTTTCTCTCTCTCTCTCTCTCTTACCCCCCCCCCCCCCAATCCCAACATGTCGCAGTCTCCCACCGAGGCAGGGTGACCAAAAAAAGAAAGAAAATCCCCCAAAAGAAAATACTTTTCACATCATTACAACACTTTCACCACCACTTCTTACATTATCACTGTTTTTTGCAGAGGTGCTCAGAATACAGCAATTTAGAAAGCAATACTCATATAAATATACACAACATATTCTCCTCCAAACTGCCAAATCCAAACCCCTCTTTAAAGTGCAGCATTGTACTTCCCATTTCCAGACTCAAGTCCTACATATGAAAATTAACCCGTTTCCCTGAATCCATTCACTAAATAAAACCCTGCTCACACCAACAGATTCGTCAGTCCCAATACCATGCGCTCCATTCACTCCTATCTAACACGTCCATGCACGCTTGCTTGGAAGTCCAAGCTCCCTTGCCCGACAAAACGCCTCCTACCCTCTCTCACCAACCCTTTCGAGGACGACCCCTACCCCGCCTTCCTTCCCCTAAAGATTTTATGCTTTCCCATGCATTCATACTTTGATCCCATTCTCTCTAAATGCCAAAAACCACCTCAACATCCCCTCTTCAGCCCTCTGACTAATACTATTTTATTAACTCCAACAACCTTTTCAGAATTTTCTGCATAATATTTACCACCACACATTGCCCTTAATAACAGGACTCTCCACTGCCTCCAACCGTCCTCCTCGCTGCTGCATATACCACCCATAGCTCACACCCATATAAGAGTTGTTGGGTACTACTATCTTTCATACATTCCCTTCATTTGCCTCCAAATTATTTATAACGTTTTTTGACTTCCACATTATACCTCAACAACGCACCATCACCTTTTTTCCCACATCACTCTATGGATTAACCTCATCCTTCATAATCCATCCGCCGACACTTTTTCCCCCCCAAACTCCCAAGTATCTGAAAACATTCACATCTATCCTACTCCTCCCCCCAATTTGATATCCAAATTTCTTTATCAAATCATTTGACACCCTCATCACCTTACTCCTTTTCTATGTTTCACTTTCAACTTTCTAACCTTTACACCACAATCCCAAACACATCCACTAACCTTTGCAATTTTTCTTTAGCTCCGTCCCATAAGCACAGAATCATCAGCAAAAAGTATCTGTGGTCAATTCCCATTTTGAATTTGATTCCCAAAAATTTAATCCCACCCCTCTCCCGAACACCCTGCCTTTAACATCTTCCCTTTACAACCCCCACTATAATATATTAAACAACCATGTGACATTACAACATCCCTGTCCTAAGACCTACTTTTAACCGGGAAGTAGTTTCCTCCCTCTCTTCTACACACCCTAACCTGTGCCTCGCTATCCTCCTAAAAACTCTTTACAGCAATTTAATAACTTACCACCTATTTCCATATAATTGCAACATCTGCCAAATGCTCCTCTATCCACTCTATCATATGCCTTTTCTAAATCCATAATTGCAATAAAAACTTCCCTACCTTAATCTAAAATACTGTCCACATATATGCTTCAATGTAAAACACTTGATCTACACAATATCCCTACCCACTCTGAAACCTCCTTGCTCATCCGCATCCTACATTCTGTCTTACCTCTAATTCTTCAATTATAACCCTAACCCTACCGTACACCTTTTTTTCGGTATACTCAGTAAACTTATTCCTCTAATTTTTACAGTCTCTTTTGTCCCCTTTCCCTTTATATAAAGGGACTATACATGCTCTCTGCCAATCCCTAGGTACCTTCCCCTCTTTCATACATTTATTAACCCTTTCAGGGTCCAAGGCCCAAATCTGGAGTCACGCACCAGTGTCCAAGAATTTTCAAAAAAAAAAATTGTTATTTTTTCTTATGAAATCGTAGAGAATCTTTTTGTGAAGGTAATAAAACAAAGTACGAAATTTGGTGGAAAATTGACGAAATTATGCTCTCGCGAATTTTGATGTGTCAGCGATATTTACGAATCGGCGATTTTGCCGACTTTGACTCCCATTTTAGGCCAATTACATTATTCCAATCAACCAAATTCTTAGCTATTTCACTAGTATTACTTCCATTCTACCGATTGAGCACAAGAAATCGCCAAGTCAACTGTTTCAACTACAAAATAAAGTGATCGGAAATTGTTAATTTGGCCAATTTAACACAAAGTTCAAAATATTCCAATTTCAAAATAGGCTCCAGAATAAACAATGTAGGCATTCCTGGCACTAAACTACATTTCCTCTGTTCATTAGTTATGTTTTGAGGCTTTACAAATAAATTCCATTTTGATTTTTTATTCACATAATGAATTTTTATTCACACCAAAGAAAGAAGATTTACTGTTATGCAATACTGTAATAATTGTATAAATATCATCACCATATTTGTGAATGTATATTAGACCCACCAGCTGGCGTGTATTAGACGTGTGAGGTCGTTTGTTTACTCTTGAATATCGGCAAAAATATTAACATTTCTGCTACTTTGAGCTCAGTTTCAAGCCATTTCCAGTGCTAAAACCAATCAAAATCATCTCTATTTCTGTAATATGTCTTCCATTCTATCAAATGAGACCAAGAAATCGCAAATACAACTTTAAAAAACATACGAAAAAACACTGCAAAGTTGCTGTTTTAATCGAAAAATCATGATTTCAGTTTTTTTCTCTCATTATACACAGTGTGCTGCAGGATCTGTTTTATGTGGTGCACACATACCACATAGATGTATTCTCTCATATCTAGGCCCAAATGTACCACTCACAGTTTATCAGAGTGAGCTGAGCTCATGGCGTAGATCTACGGTTTGGACACTCACCGTAAAGCCGTAGATCTACGGGACGGACCCTGAAAGGGTTAAACAAAAGTACCAACCACTCCAACACTATATCCCCCCCCTGCTTTTAACATTTCTGTCATGATCTCATCAGTTCCAGCTGCTTTACCCCCTTTCATTTTACGTAATGCCTCACGTACCTCCCCCACACTTACATTCTGCTCTTCTTCACTCCTAAAAGATCGTATACCTCCCTGACCAGTGCATGAAATTACTGCCTCTGTTTCTTCCTTAACATTTAAAAGTTCCTCAAAATATTCTCGCCATCTACCTAATACCTCCATCTCCCCATCTACTAACTCCCCTACTCTGTTTTTAACTGACAAATCCATACTTTCCCTAGGCTTTCTTAACTTGTTTAACTCACTCCAAAATTTTTCTTATTTTCATTAAAATTTCTTGACAGTGCCTCTCCCACTCTATCATCTGCTCTCCTTTTGCACTCTCTTTACCTTTCTTTTACTCTCCATATACTCTGCTCTTCTTATAACACTTCTGCTTTGTAAAAACCTCTCATAAGCTACCTTTTTCTCTTTTATCACACCCTTTACTTCATCATTCCACCAATCACTCCTCTTTCCTCCTGCCCCCACCCTCCTATAACCACAAACTTCTGCCCCACATTCTAATACTGCATTTTTAAAACTATTCCAACCCTCTTCAACCCCTCCCACTACTCATCTTTGCACTAGCCCACCTTTCTGCCTATTATTATTATTATTATAATCAAAAAGAAGCGCTAAGCCACAAGGGCTATACCTTTCTGCCAATAGTCGCTTATATCTCACCCGAACTTCCTCCTCCCTTAGTTTATACACTTTCACCTCCCTCTTACTTGTTGTTGCCACCTTCCTCTTTTCCCATCTACCTCTTACTCTAACTCTAGCGACAACTAAATAATGATCCAATATATCAGTTGCCCCTCTATAAACATGTACATCCTGGAGCCTACCCATCAATCTTTTATCCACCAATACATAATCTAATAAACTACTTTCATTACGTGCTACATCATACCTTGTATATTTATTTATCCTCTTTTTCATAAAATATGTATTACTTATTACCAAATCTCTTTCTACACATAGCTCAATTAAAGGCTCCCCATTGACGTTTACCCCTGGCACCCCAAATTTACCTACTACTCCCTCCATAACATTTTTACCCACTTTAGCAATTATGTAGCGTACTAAAAAAATTAATATACAATACAGCTGAACCTCTTATCCACAGTTTGTTACCCGAGGTTTACCATGACCCAAAAATATTAAATGGAAAATTCCAGGAGAAAAAATCACTGATTACAATCCTATGATGGAACGCAGCATTAAAGTCATCCCATATAATGATAGAAGCATTTGAACCTTTCCAGCAAGTGTTTGACAAGCTGACAAGAAAGAACAGACTTCCTATCAATGTTTTTCCAATGGTTGAAAACCGAACCATGTCCACTATCAGCACTCCCCAACCATCAACATCGTAATGTCTTTCACATAATTTATCGATTAAACTTCATTGTAGGTATGTATATAAACAAAAATCGGCTTGTATACAGTGGACCCCCAGATTACGACATCGGATTACGTAAAAATCAGATTAACATTTTTGCATCAAAATATTGGCTCGGTTAATGACGGAACTCGGTTAGTCATTCGTCCCGAACGTGTCCACGTGGCATGAGCAGCCCAGACACTCCATGTACAGCTAGTGTGCCATTGTTTACAAGCCAGTGAGGACGATTCCACACGTACTTGCGATACATTTTGTATTCCATTGTTTTTAGTGCTTGTAACTGCTAAATAAGCCACCATGGGCCCAAAGAAAGCTTCTAGTGCCAGCCCTGTGGTAAAGGGGGCAAGAAACGCTATAGAATTCAAGAAAAAGTTTGTAGAAAGATACAAAAGTGGTGGTGGTAGAGGGTACTTCCCCACACACCAGCCACGGTACTTCCCCACACACACGATTTGGTTTGATTAGGACTTGTACATGAGTGAATAGAATTATCAGTTTATTGCTTGGGAAGCATTGAAAATTGGGTTGGGCAAATACGATTCTGTTAGTGGGATGGTTTGTGAAGGACCTGCCTAGTATGGGCCAACAGGCCTGCTGCAGTGTTCCTGCTTTGTGCAAATATTTATGGATGAACATCACCCTGACACAGCTGTTGCAGGCTGTGCTGGCAACATCTACAATGATAATTTTGTGTCCCATTTTAGGGAAATCTTAAGAGATGCCAGAAACAGCTCTGGACAGATATTTTGTGTGACAAGTGTCCAGTGACTGAAGCTGGTCCTAGTGGCATTACAAAACAAAGAAGGGAAGTAACCCCAGATAAGGACTTGGTACCTGAAGTCTCTATGCAAGGGGAATCCCCTTCCAAACACTTGTACAACTCTATCCTCTCCTCTCCCGTCTCATCACTCAATAAGTCTTCAATAAAGGTGTCATTTTATTATTTATTCTGCATGTCTCATTGTTTTCTGTGTAGAGAAATGTATATTTCATGTAAAAAAATATTCCGTTTAATACTTTTGGGTGTCTGGAACTGATTACGTAATTGGATTTCCATTATTTCTTATGGGGAAAATTAATTTGGATTACGGCAGATTCAGTATAAGACACGCTCTCTGGAATGGATTAATGTCATAATCCGGGGGTTCACTGTATAGGGGTTTATTACTATCCATGATTTTGTGTATCAGCAGTAGGTCTTGAAACGTATCACCCACGGATACAAGGTGACAACCGTACTGTAGTACTACAGGTTACAATACCCATGTTCTTAGTTCACTGATGCAGAGGACAACTGGACACTAAGTCCACTACTTCAGAAGACAACTAGACGATCATGAAATATTAATTTCATAATTCAGGATTTGTGTGGCATTATTGTACACCCCCTTCTTCCTATTGGTCCGTTAATGAAACGTTTCATTGTATTTGCGTACAGTAATTTTATTTTCAATATGGGTAATATTGCCTAAAAGAACAATTCTAATATTGTGCTTTTTTGTGAAAGTTTGCTAAATAAAATCCTGTTCAATATTAATCATAGGAAAAAAGTTGTCTCTATTTGTTGGGATATGGACACTGCATTCATGGAATTTTATGAAGTTTTAAAAGAAATGCCTAACTCAGTGAAAGGAAAGAGTATGACAGGTATCTATGGTACTACACTACCATAGATACCTGTAGACCTGGAGGGTGTACCTACTTGGGTAGGTAGGAGGCCCCGAGTTATTGTTTACTACAGACAATATACAATGTAGGCAAATGTAATTCTGGCAGTACATTGAGAGATATTCAACATACCGCATCATAAATACTTGGTGAGTTAAGCAATTTGTTACACACATCCTGCACGTTTCCTCAGTCATTGCAGGGCAGCTGCCCCCATGGACATTTACCAATATGCCTATTTTCTCCAGTTATCTCACCATCTTCTGTTTTGTACTCGTTGAGGGCGCTGCAACAATAAACCGTTTTCTGAAATTTAAGCACGTAACCTTGAATGAACCCATAGTCCAACACGATTTAATTAAGAACACACTGCTCAATTGTGTGCATGTCTACCACACCAAGACTGGCCATGAACTGAGCTTATCAGAGTGAGGGGAAGGCGATATCGGAACTTTACACCAGTTGCTATGGAGGCTGCTATATGGTGCTATACAGACAAGACATGCCAGAGCCATGTTGTTAGGTAAGCCACATATGCAACAGTTAGGTATCTTTATTTCGAAACGTTTCGCCTACACAGTAGGCTTCTTCAGTCGAGTACAGAAAAGTTGATAGAAGCAGAAGAGACTTGAAGACGATGTAATCAGTCCATCACCCTTAAAGTTTTGAGGTGGTCAGTCCCTCAGTCTGGAGAAGAGCATTGTTCCGTAGTCTGAAACAATATGGAGTAGAAGTGACAGGATGGAGCCTTATATAGCGCCAGGAGGTGAGACGTAGGTCACTAGTAGAACGCAGATGTTGTGAGGTCAGGTCCCTCTCAAATCCAGCCGTTCTCACTAGTAGAGGTTGTCGAAGTTGATTTCAGGTCTGTACCAAGATACCCTTGTGTTGCAGTGTCTGACAGATTGAACATTAAAGTGGTATAAAATACCGACAGGTTGTTAGGTAAGCCACATATGCAACAGTTAGGTATCTTTATTTCGAAACGTTTCGCCTACACAGTAGGCTCTTCTCCAGACTGAGGGTCTGACCACCTCAAAACTTTAAGGGTGATGGACTGATTACATCGTCTTCAAGTCTCTTCTGCTTCTATCAACTTTTCTGTACTCGACTGAAGAAGCCTACTGTGTAGGCGAAACGTTTCGAAATAAAGATACCTTACTGTTGCATATGTGGCTTACCTAACAACCTGTCGGTATTTCATACCATTTTAATGTTCAGAGCCATGTTACATTTAAACATGTCTCTATCCATGATGGTACCTCCGTAGTTGCAGCCATCTTGTTTGTACACTGTCTGTAGTAAACAAAATCTTGGGGCATCCTACGAGTGAAACACATTACGTACGTATATGAAAGGCTCGTGAAATTGCTATTGCCTAAAAGTTACATCCAAGCCATCTCCCAGTACTGATAGTAACAGGCTAGAAAGCTGACAAGCTGGACTCAACACACTGCCTGCAGTAAAAATACCCAGGTATATAATTTTTCTGGTAAAATTATACAAACTTAACAGAGAACCTTTAATTTTAAGTCTTAATCAAAAACTACACCTGTAACAAAGAAATTTTTATTACACTACAAATTTCCACAAACAAAGTAAATGATCATAAAAGGATGCTGAAGCAATGATATTACTTAAACCTGTTGAACCTGGCCACCAATCCACCCCATAAGCCAGGCTCTCATGTTCTGTGAAGGAAGCAACAATTTGTATGTTAGAGATGGAAGTATCTGTGATGTGGAATCCATTATGCATGCAAGCAGCCAGTAATAGATCTCTACCATGTGGTTCCCATTTCAGACGCCATATTCCACCACCAAGGGATGTTGCTGAGCATGCAGATTTTAACTGCCTAGTGTCCCATAAACACACATTTTCATCGTAACTCCCACTTGCTAGAAAATACTCAGAATTTGCATTTCTATGAATACTTGTTACGCCTGCATTGTGTGCCCTGCTAGTGAATACAGGAGTGGCCGGATTGACTCTTGCATCAAATCCCCGAAACTTACAGTCATCGCCCCCTGTATAAATTATGTTCGGATTCCAATAATCAAAAGCAGTGATCCATGCTTCAAACTCATGAGCTACAAATCTTTCCTGGAGTATCAGTTCTTGATTTTGAAGCTGCAACATGCTAATTTTCCCTTTTGAATCACTAACTGAAATTGATGGATTTTCACAGTGAATTTTCCCCGTTGACCAATCTAGTGACAGAGCAAGGGTGTCTTCCTCATTTATTGAGTATTTAATCCAAAATTTTAACTTTACTGCTCCATCATTAACAGTTTCTAACTTGTACAAAATTAACTGACCTGAAGCATTTGCAATGGCAAGTATTGGGTAACCATGTATCTTGTGATGACACCATTTCATATCTAGAATAGCAGGCATATCAATCTGCTGAACCAATACTAAGTCTTTCTCATTTATCATTTTCTTCAGATAAAGGCGCCCCAGTCTTTTCTTTGGCACATCACTGGACAGTAGGTTTGATTTCACAGTCTCTTGTTCACATATCTCGAAACTCTGTTCTTGGTCTGCCAGCTGGTAGGTGCCTACTGCAAGGTAATCTTGATATGGGTCCACAGGACAAAATTCGACTGAATCAGCACTGTATTGAGTGTCCCAGGAGAACAACTTTTTCACTTCAAAAGTCATGATTCTGAAAACAAACACTGAATTGACTTGAAAGATAAAACAGCCATCAATTTCTTAACTATTTTATGAACTACATCTCCAGCCAAACTATTGTATAGCTTATTGATTTATAAGATATAGTAAACAATGTATTAGGCTGAGGCAAAAGTGTAAGGTTTTTACTTTCTTTCTACCACTCTCCCCTGCCTCAAAAAGGAACATAAATTTTTTTTTTTTTTCGACAAGTTGGCCGTCTCCCACCGAGGCAGGGTGACCCAAAAAAAAGAAAGAAAATCCCCAAAAAGAAAATACTTTCATCATCATTCAACACTTTCACCACACTCGCACATTATCACTGTTTTTGCAGAGGTGCTCAGAATACAACAGTCTAGAAGCATACACATATAAAGATACACAACATATCCCTCCAAAATGCCAATATCCCAAACCCCTCCTTTAAAGTGCAGGCATTGTACTTCCCATTTCCAGGACTCAAGTCCAACTATATGAAAATAACCGGTTTCCCTAAATCCATTCACTAAATATTACCCTGCTCACACTCCAACAGATCGTCAGGTCCCAAGTACCATTCGTCTCCATTCACTCCTATCTAACATGCTCACGCACGCTTGCTGGAAGTCCAAGCCCCTTGCCCACAAAACCTCCTTTACCCCCTCTCTCCAACCCTTTCGAGGACGACCCCTACCCCGCCTTCCTTCCCCTATAGATTTATATGCTTTCCATGTCATTCTACTTTGATCCATTCTCTCTAAATGACCAAACCACCTCAACAACCCCACTCTGCCCTCTGACTAATACTTTTATTAACTCCACACCTTTTCCTAATTTCCACACTCCGAATTTTCTGCATAATATTTACATCACACATTGCCCTTAAACAGGACATCTCCACTGCCTCCAACCATCTCCTCGCTGCTGCATTTACCACCCAAGCTTCACACCCATATAAGAGTGTTGGTACTACTACTTTCATACATTCCCTTCTTTGCCTCCATAGATAACGTTTTTGACTCCACATATACCTCAACGCACCACTCACCTTTTTTCCCTCATCAATTCTATGATTAACCTCATCCTTCATAAATCCATCCGCCGACACGTCAACTCCCAAGTATCTGAAAACATTCACTTCTTCCATACTCCTCCTCCCCAATTTGATATCCAATTTTTCTTTATCTAAATCATTTGACACCCTCATCACCTTACTCTTTTCTATGTTCACTTTCAACTTTCTACCTTTACACACATTCCCAAACTCATCCACTAACCTTTGCAATTTTTTTTTAGAATCTCTCATAAGCACAGTATCATCAGCAAAAAGTAACTGTGTCAATTCCCATTTTGAATTCGATTCCCCAAAATTTAATCCCACCCCTCTCCCGAACACCCTAGCATTTACTTCCTTTACAACCCCATCTATAAATATATTAAACAACCATGGTGACATTACACATCCCTGTCTAAGACCTACTTTTACCGGGAAGTAGTCTCCCTCTCTTCTACACACCCTAACCTGAGCCTCACTATCCTCATAAAAACTCTTTACAGCATTTAATAACTTACCACCTATTCCATATACTTGCAACATCTGCCACATTGCTCCTCTATCCACTCTATCATATGCCTTTTCTAAATCCATAAATGCAATAAAAACTTCCCTACCTTTATCTAAATACTGTTCACATATATGCTTCAATGTAAATACTTGATCTACACATCCCCTACCCACTCTGAAACCTCCTTGCTCATCTGCAATCCTACATTCTGTCTTACCTCTAATTCTTTCAATTATAACCCTACCGTACACTTTTCCTGGTATACTCAGTAAACTTATTCCTCTATAATTTTTACAGTCTCTTTTGTCCCCTTTCCCTTTATATAAAGGGACTATACATGCTCTCCGCCAATCCCTAGGTACCTTCCCCTCTTTCATCCATTTATTAAACAAAAGTACCAACCACTCCAACACTATATCCCCCCCTGCTTTTAACATTTCTGTCATGATCCCATCAGTTCCAGCTGCTTTACCCCCTTTCATTTTACGTAATGCCTCACGTACCTCCCCCACACTTACATTCTGCTCTTCTTCACTCCTAAAAGATGGTATAACTCCCTGACCAGTGCATGAAATTACTGCCTCTGTTTCTTCCTTAACATTTAAAAGTTCCTCAAAATATTCTCGCCATCTACCTAATACCTCCATCTCCCCATCTACTAACTCCCCCACTCTGTTTTTAACTGACAAATCCATACTTTCCCTAGGCTTTCTTAACTTGTTTAACTCACTCCAAAATTTTTTCTTATTTTCATTAAAATTTCTTGACAGTGCCTCTCCCACTCTTTCATCTGCTCTCCTTTTGCACTCTCTCACCACTCTCTTCACCTTTCTTTTACTCTCCATATACTCTGCTCTTTTTTTAACACTTCTGTTTTGTAAAAACCTCTCATAAGCTACCTTTTTCTCTTGTATCACACCCTTTACTTCATCATTCCACCAATCACTCCTCTTTCCTCCTACCCCCACCCTCCTATAACCACACACTTCTGCCCCACATTCTAATACTGCATTTTTAAAACTATTCCAACCCTCTTCAACTCCCCCACTACTCATCTTTGCACTAGCCCACCTTTCTGCCAATAGTCGCTTATATCTCACCCGAACTGTACATATATTGTAGAACATAGGACATACAGTAAGTCAATTATCAGTTGGTTAAGAATGTTTGATAGTCCAAATTCTTTTATAAAAGAGAAAACGAGGTAAGTAATAGCAACTAGCAGGTAATAGGTTATGTCTTGAAGTGAGGTGTTATGGGGACACTGACATACTTCACACACCACCCACTCCCCAACCCTAAACCCACATGGACCAGTATATAAAACAGTGACCCTATGTACGACCACTCACTGTCTTTCGTCACTTCATCTGTCAATATTTATTCTAGGTTCAGTTCGGTTAAATAATGAAAGGTAGTGAGGCGGTCAGGGTGAGAGTTGCTGGTGGTAAAGTTATGACCAGAGACCAGTGGCCCACCACCGCCGAATCGCATCATTATTGTTATGATTTATTATGTATGAGAGTATAGTGGTACCAATGCCCTTACATGGGTGTGAAGCATGGGTAGAGAATGTTGCAACAAGAAGAAGGCTGGAAGTAGTGGAGATGTCGTGTCCAAGGGCAGTGTGGAGTGAATATAATGCAGAGAATCTATAACTTGGAAATTAGAAGGAGGTGTGGGGTTTCTACATGTATTATCCAGAGGGCAGAGGAGGGGGTTGTTGAGGCAGTTCAGACATTTAAGATGGAACAAAGTAGAATGACTTGGAGGGCATATAAATCTGTAGTAGAAGAAAGGTGGGGTAGGGGTCGTCCTAGGAAAGGTTGGAGGGAGAGGGTAAAGGAGGTTTTGTGTGTGAGGGGCTTGGACTTCCAGCAAGCTTGCATGAACATGTTAGATAGGAGTGAGTAGAGATGAATGGTTTTCATGACTTGATGTGCTGTTGGAGTGTAAGCAAAGCAACATTTAACCCTTAAACGGTCCAAACAGATCAACGTTCAAATTCATAGTGCTACAAAAGTAGATCTACTATTTTTTACATATTTTCAAATATAACAAAAAATAATGTAGATAAAAGTTTTTTTTTTTACAGGTTTTCAAATGTAAAACAAAAAAGAAGATCTACATTTTTTACATACTTTCAGATGTTGAAAAAATGTATATATACGTTTGGACCATTTAAGGGTTAAGGAAGGATTCAGAGAAACTGGTTAGCTGGACTTAAGTCCTGGAGGTGGGTAGTACAATGTCTTCACTCTGAAGGAGGGGTCTTCATATGTCGCAGTTTTTTAACTGTAGTGTAGGCATGCCTCTCGCAAGACAGTGATGGAATGAATGATGATGAAAGTGTTTCTTCTTTTTAGTCATTCTGCCTCAGTAGGAAATGGCTGATGTGTTAATAAAAAAATGTTTACTATTATTTTTATTACTATTACTACTATTGTTGGTAATATTCCCGGGACAGAATCCCATTAACATTACATATTTACAACAAATCCATAAGAGGCAACACATCTATTGTGAAGCTGTTGTTTATCAACATAGCCATAAGAACAATAGTATACCTGGAGAGGGTTTCAGGGGGGTCAACGCCCCCGCGGCCCGGTCTGTGATCCACCATGAGGCCTGGTCACAGACCGGGCCGCGGGGGCGCTGACCCCCGAAACCCTCTCCAGGTATACTATTGTTCTTATGGCTATGTTGATAAACAACAGCTTCACAATATATGTGTTGCCTCTTATGGATTTGTTGTAGTAAATATGTAATGTTAATGGGGTTCTATCCCGGGAATATTACCAATAATAATTATAACATGATAATGATCCTTACACAAGAGGAAGACTCGCAACTCACTCGGACCAGTGACTGTCTCTTCCCAAGTGAAAATTCTCCTCACAGAACAAACACAAGGATCTCTGACGTCCCAATAGAACAGTGAGGCAGCAAGGGAAAACCAGTTTATAAAATATTTCTTCAGGACAACAATATTAAAAGTTGCAGTGTTGATGTTGTTAGGGATATTTAGGGTAACTGCAGCGTACGCCTTATGGAGCTGAGTCTCCCAGGTCAGGCAGAAATGTTACTCAATTATGGGCGTGAATCATCAAGCAAAGAGTTTCCTCTGAAAGAGAAATGGTAACATGCAATTCCTAATTAGGTTAGGCGGACACCTTGCCTAAACTCTGGTTGATCAGAGCCTGATCCGCCTGGTCTCAGACCGGACCGAGGGGGAGTTGAACCCCGAAACCCTCTCCAGGTAAGAGCCAGAAGCCCATACAACTGCACTTGAATCAACAAATGCAGGCTTTCTGATGGCCTAGAAGCTTGTGAATGACTCCGACCAATTGCCCAGAAGATTGATGATGATGATGACAAATATCCTACGAAAAGAAAACGGAATTTTTCGTTACTGATGGTTAAGACAAGGTGGGGCGAGATATCAGTGCAGAAGCCCCAAGGTCAGGTGGTTCCCAGGCCTATACACCAGCAGAGCCAGAAGCTTCACTCACTGAGGCTGACACTGAAGGCCGTCATTCTCATTGGAAATAAAATGTTCTGCTTTAGTCAGTTGTGTAGCCTGAGTGGCTAGTTTTTTGTGCACCTGCAGCTCATCCTGTGAACTGTGGGTGCACAGATTACATAGGTCATAATGGGTCTTTATCAGACACCAATGAGCACAATGAGCCCGAAATGCCTAGCCATGCTAAGCGTTCTAGTGGTACACTCTGTAATCACTATTTTACTACATGTAAACCACACAATAACCAAATTTCTGTAAACTCAGCATTGTAATCCTTATAGAGAATAAACTTTGAATTACATCACACACACAAAAATATATTACAATCATTTCATATTTTATAATTTCTTCATGGAGCTAATAAACGCAATACACTATAGAGTTATAGTCTGAAATACACTGAAGTATCTTTCTACCACTTAAAACATTAATCGTTATAGGGCTGTCTCAAGATTGATTCATTTATCCAGTAAGTACAAAGTGTAGGTTGTCTCAAGATTTTTAGATATTTTATCATTAACAATAATAATATAATAACAATATCTTTATTTACTACCAGTACATGTACAAGGTATACAGACCATAGCTGACATCAGTGACATACTACTATATAGAAAGTCGCTTGTTATGCTGAGCATTTCCCGCAAATTAGGTCAGTTTTGTCCCAGGATGCGACTCACACCAGTTCATTAACACCCAGGTTCCCACTTTACTGATGGGTGAACATAGACAACCGGTGTAAGGAAACACCCCTACGCTGGGAATCGAACCCGGACCCTCATCGCATGAAGCGAGAACTTTTGCCACCAGGCCACGGGGGACCAAATGAAATGTTTTGCCATATCCTGTAGGGTTCCCATGGAAGGTTGAATGTTTGGACCCCTAAGGGGTTGGTTCCTTGATGTTAGTCAGAAGCACTTGATCTAGGGAACTGGATCTGTGCTCTAATTCCCTAAAATAACTCTAAATGCCTTCCATCCCCTCCCTTCAACAGGCGCTTCAGAATTCCTATGGATTTAGCGCTCCCATGATGATAAAAATAATAATTGTTTGGGCACTGAGACATTGTTCTAGATTATGTTCTCCTTCTCCTTGTTCTTGTTAGTGGATTAAGGAACAAGTTCCAGTTTACTCTGTATCTAACTCTGTCTCCCGGTGTCCAGGGAGGAACTTTTTATGCTTTTCATGTTATATTTCGTCACCCATCATGATTAAGTTAGAGTAACGTAAGTGTGTCTCCTATGTGCAGGTTATTGTGTATTACAGTCACAGTACTGTACTTTTTATTCTTTGTGATGGAGTATAACAACAAAACCATCCTGTGATGGAATGTAACAACAAAACCATCCTGTGATGGAATATAACAACAAAACCATCCTGTGATGGAATGTAACAACAAAACCATCCTGTGATGGAATATAACAACAAAACCATCCTGTGATGGAATATAACAACAAAACCATCCTGTGATGGAATGTAACAACAAAACCATCCTGTGATGGAATATAACAACAAAACCATCCTGTGATGGAATGTAACAACAAAACCATCCTGTGATGGAGTTCATCAGGAAACTCAATGGAAATTAAGGAGTCCAACAGAAACAATTACTCATTAGGGTTAACTAATCTAAAGAAACCCTCTTAAAACCTCTACGTGATGGGTGTTACTTAGGAAACCTTACTTAGCTTGTATAATATTGTATACATCTGAGCAGCTACTCATAGAAGTTATATCCATGTTACTTTGCTTTATAATTGTTTTGATGTGTTTAGAACTTAACATAAGTTATTAGGTTTTATCATCATTAGAAGAAAATGTAAGAATCGAGTATTAACGTAGATGACAAATAATTAAGCTTCGATAATCAAGGAGAATAAATTGAAGAGTCCAGAGTCGTAGAGGTACTAAGTCAGAAACCATCAGCGTATCACAAAGGTGTTTATTTATGCCTCAGACAATTTTTCACCTTTAACAATGGTTTACTAATAAATTATGGAAAAAAAATAGCCTAAGATAGCCCACTAAGGTCATTGTGACTTATATTCATGAAGGCATACTCTTCAGCACTGAAAATAAACTGAAAAGGGTAAATAATTCTAATGTCCAGTGTCATGGGGACCCCATGACACTAGACATTAGTGAAATATCTGGGAATCCCCTTTGACCCAACCATGTCAGAACTGATAAGGAACTGTGTAGTAAAGAAAGCAAATGCCAGGCTTGATAAGATAAGATAAGATTTCGTTCGGATTTTTAACCCCGGAGGGTTAGCCACCCAGGATAACCCAAGAAAGTCAGTGCGTCATCGAGGACTGTCTAACTTATTTCCATTGGGGTCCTTAATCTTGTCCCCCAGGATGTGACCCACACCAGTCGACTAACACCCAGGTACCTATTTGCTGCTAGGTGAACAGGACAACAGGTGTAAGGAAACGTGTCGAAATGTTTCCACCCGCCGGGAATCGAACCCGGGCCCTCCGTGTGTGAAGCGGGAGGTTTAGCCACCAGGCCACCAGGCCACCAAATTACCTCTACAGACAAGCACAGTGTCTACCTACCGAGGCTCCCAGGACTCTATGTCTTCATCTTCTACTGTACCATATAAATTACTCTTGCCTTTAAAAAAACTGAAAGATAGATTACAAATCACCCAGAACATAATGGTGAGATTCATGCTGTAGTTGGGTCCAAAAGAACATGTAGGTCAGGATGAATTACAACAACTGGATATGCTGAATGTTGAAGAAAGAGTAAATAAATAACAAAAAGGCACAATGCCGTGACTGGAACAATAGTGAAGTTAATAACGTTTATAAAATTGCTCACAAGTAGTGTCCAGAATATCTTGCTGCCAAGTTTGTCAAGGCTGGGAACCGGAGCAATTGTAGAACTAGAGGAAAAGGGAGAGAGAGAAAAAAAGGTCGATTTTTGACCTCGGAGGGTTAGTCACCCAGGATAAACCAAGAAAGGCAGTGCATCATTTGGGTCCTTCAGTCTTGTCCCCCAAGAGGCGACTCACACCAGTCGACTAACACCCAGGTACCCAATTACTTCCTAGGTGAACGGGGACAGTAAGTGTAAGAAAACACTCAATGTTTCCACCCCTGCCGGGGATCGAACCACGGACACTGTGTGAGGACACCTCACTGTGTACCCACAACAGGTGGTCAGGCTTCTGACACGTTTTTATCGTACAACATGTAACGGGCTGCCAGCACATGTCAAAAACCTGCCATAGCCATTGCATGAGCCAGTTCAGGAAGAGATTAAAAAGACACAGAAGGAAGATCTTGTTTTTTTATCTTTATTGTAGACCTTTCGTCATTCACGGGTGGTATTTGATCAATAAAACCTTTCAAGGCAGTAACTTGCCGACAGTAGAAAATGTACAGAAATTGAGGGTAACAGTCCCTCAACCTAGGGGGTTAAGGGTTTTTGCGGAAGAGCAGGGGAGTACTTGAACCTACACCTAGGTCTGAGGGACTATGACTTACAAAAATCATCCTCGAAAAAAAGTTGCAGACTGCACCTCATAAGTAAGCTGTCACTAAGTTTGAGAATTCAAAAGTGCACTGGATGGCAAACGTCCCTACAATAAGGATTACCAACTTGCACCCTGGCAGTCTTAATCTAAAACCCCTGTCGGTATCTATAGCCCATTCTCGTAACAGTTCGGCAGAGCCAAGAGGCCTAATTGAAGGGGTACCCGGAGGCTGTACAAGGGGGAGGAGTTTCTAATCTTCTCCAGGTAATGGAAAGGTTAAGGATCCCTAGCTTTATTGACAAGCTATTTACAGGTTAAGGATTCCTAACTTTATTGGCAAGCTAAGAGCTGTTACCTACATCAGCTCATTTGAAAGCATTTTTATTATTATGAGACATACAAGTAGGAACAGGATGAATTTTGGAGCCATCTGTGGGCCAGCATTTTCATTTGATCAACTGACTTTATCTCGTTGACATCATAATGCTGTACGAATGTGTTCCATACTCGAGTCATCCTGGGTATATATGATCTCAGATGGAGTGATGTTCTGGAGAAGGTTACAGCCAGAGTGAAGTTGCTGCTTTCTGCCCGTCTTGTGGCATAAAAGCTTGTTTCACGCTGTCCTCGAAGTGGATCCAAGTGTGGTACTTTGACAATATTGGCCTTGTACATAACAGTAAGGCCACCCACATCCCTCCTGTGTTGAAGGCTCTGCTGAAATGAGTTCTTGTACAGATAACATACTGTGATCTGATTCATTCTTTAAGTTAATATAAATAACTGATTTACCTTATTTCTAGTATATCTCCCTTCACTGTAGCTGATTTTCACATAGTTGAGTTACTGAACTGTTTTAACTTTAAGGTTTTAGTAAGATATTACAAGGGCCCCAATAGAAGATAATTCACCTTGTCATGGGTTATCTACACATTTACTGCTATGTATGATAAATGATGTAACTATTTATATGTACCTATTTGTAGATGAATGGTTCAGAGAACCGACATGTTGATAAATTAGACACATGTGCAACTCTTGGGTATCTTTATTGAGGAAACGTTTCGCCACACAGTGGCTTCATCAGTCCATACATAGGAGAAACTTGAAGAACAGGAGGAGAATGAGGGACTTATTACCTCATTCTCCTCCTGTTCTTCAAGTTTCTCCTATGTATGGACTGATGAAGCCACTGTGTGGCGAAACGTTTCCTCAATAAAGATACCCAAGAGTTGCACATGTGTCTAATTTATCATCATATGTACCTATACCCGAATAAACTTACTATATACTTATATAGTTTAGAAATTTTGAAAAAAATGAGAATTCGGAAAACTGACGAGGAGCTGAAAGTATGGTAGACAATTAGTCTTACTCAATAAGAAATAAAAAATAATTTAAGCAAGCTGAGGTGGAAAGAACTGGCAGAAAAGTGAAGTAGATGTGGAGTGAACCTCGAGTAGGTGACCTTGAGGATATGGTCGCCTTACATGAAGGGAAACAACACCTGTGAGAAACACAGACCTTGCTCTCTCTTTCTTCTTTCTAATCACTTCACAATTCTAGGTTTTGGAAAGTACTTAGCGGAATTAGTTTGTTAATGAATATTTCTTCACATTTCGTGTTGTGTACACAATATCCTGGGTGAATGACTGCTGTATTTAAGTAAACTGATATACAAAAGTATTCGCTACAGTGTAGACTGTGATGCTAAGTAGACCTACAGAATTTCTAAAAAAAAAACCTTGTTAAATCTTTATTAGTTAAAATTTCCAGAGTTTAGCATTAACAAATCGAACAGAGCGGACCCGGAATTTAATACTAAGTAAAATATTGTATGAGTAAAGAGTTTTATTAAAGCATCAGAGATGTTCTTATGTTAAGTGAGGGTGATGGCGGCGTCTGGTGTGTGATGTTGCTGCGTCTATACAGCAGCCGCCACCAGTCGCCATTGTGCTGCACGAGTGAGACAAGGTGGGGCCAGGCGCCTCATATTACTGCCTTGGGACACTTTATCTCACACTTGAGATATAGAGATCAACCTGGCATTATTCACTTGAAGCTGCTGGTGAGTCTTCCAGCTGGAGGAAGTTTACACAAGGTGTGTGAGGGAGGAGTCAGGCAGCCATGGCAAACCCAGAAATATACTGGGCTCTTGAGGCCATGGTTGCCATAGTCTTGTATTTGCAGTATAGTTTTGTTCTTAAATACTCAGTAACCACGAATGTGTGTGTGATGGAGGCACTTGTAATAATTTATTAAAGGAAATATAGATTTGTAGTGATTATGATTATTTGTTGATATTATTTATGGTTGATAATTTATTTGTTATTAATGTGTTGATCTTTTGTTAGGGTTAAAATATTTCCACGAGGGTGGCTTCTTGATGCTAGTGAGGGGCTCTTGATACAAGGAACTGGATCTACCCTACTTTGAATCTGAATCCCTGCCATTCTTGGTCCTCTATAATCCCTGCGGATTTAGCGCTCCTCTTGAATGTAATGAAGATTGTTAGGGTATAGTAACCTTCAAATGAGATGCCTTGATTTTGGCAAAGTGCTCTTGATTCAAGGACTTGTAGATTCCTTCCCCTTGTAAATGAAGTGATTGGAAGTATTCTAAATCATCCAGAGTGTCTCCCATTCCTCAGGTGTTTTATGGCCCTCGTGAGATTATGGGTTCCCCATAAATATGTGATACAGTAATGATAGTTTTATTCCACTGGGTACAATATATAACTAAATTGATTCCTGCCTGCCTCCCTGGAGGGTATTTTGGGGGTCAATGCCCCTGTGGTCCAGTGCTTGACCAGGCTGGTGGACTGGTGGCTCAAATTAATTTTGGCAACTATATGTGTGGGGTATTTGTGTATTGTTCCAGTCATGGTATTATGCCTTTTTATTCTTAACTATATGTTGACTTCACAGGTTGTGGTGGGCGACACAAGTATGTGGTCAGGTGCCCCACAGTGGGCATCATGGGCCCTGCAGCCTCAACACTATCAAAACATGAAGCCAGAAGAAGGTAACTACATCATTATTGTTTTGGTTCTAATTCAAAACACATCCTGTCTTCACAATAAAAAAAACGTTTTTGACTTTGCTTTTGTGATAATTGGTTTGGAAACCGACAAGTTGAAGATTGAGATACTTGTACATCATCATCTAATGAAATTCAGGGACACCCGACTAGTGATCAAAGAACCTAATTTCCACAGACACAAGTGCCTTGAATCAGCATTAATATGTTTTGTCACAGTTAAATTAAACAAAGGCAGCTTGCTAAGACCTCCCAGGAGGGTTCTTGCTAAGACCTCACAGATAAAGATCTGTGAGGTCTTAGCAAGAACCCTCCTGAAAACAGTAAACCCTACCATCACATAGTCTCTGCTGCTAATACTACTACACAAGCTCATTACAGAGGAGGAACACTGAAACAGACCTCAAATCCAACTGCCAATATTTGTCTAACTTATTTTTGTGCTACCTTTTACCCATGTGCAAGTTAATTGTTCTGCTGTATTGTATTACTACTACTACTACAACTAATATACTCCAACTAATATTACTACTACTACTACTACTACCTCTAGTATAACACCTCACTCAAAGCCTATATATACCCTCTGTGTCCATGTTTTGTTTGTAATGGCTTGATAAAGCTCCTGGAGAGCAAAACGTTGCCACAATAAAATGTCACATTAGTTGCATTTGTGTCCTTTTACTTAACACTTCATTAATAAAGATTCTCATATGTTGCATCTCAATCTTTAACCCTTTGAGGGTCGACAGGCCCTCTCCGAAACTCGTTCTCAGGGTCGGCCAAATTTAAAAAAAAAAAAAATTATTTTCTCTTATGAAAAGATAGAGAATCTTTTCCCGATCATAACGACACCAAAAGTTTGAAATTTGATAGAAAACTTACGGAATTATGCTCTCGCAAAGTTAGCGGTCTCGGCGATGTTTACGCATCGGCGATTTTGCCCACTTTGAGCCCCATTTTCAGCCAATTTCACTGTACTAGTCGACAAAAAACATGAATATTTCGCTAGAAACTCCATTTTTTCTATCGAATGGGTGCAAGAAACCACCCATTTATAAATTCAACTATCCAGTACAGTGGTCAGAATTTAGCAATTTTGCCAATTTCACACAAATTTCAAAAGGTGCCAATTTCCGAATAGGGTCCAGAATAAACAAGATAGACATTCCTGGCACTAAAATGACATTTCCTCTAGTCATTAGTCACGTCTCAAGGCCCCTCATATATTCTTTTGCTTTCCACTTTGAATTTTTATTCTCACAAAAAATATAAGATTTACTGTTATGCAGACTACTGCATTAGTGTAAAAAATGGTATAAATATTATTGGTGCACTTGTGAAAGAATATTAGACTCACCAGTTGACGTGTATTGCATGCTTGGCACGATTTGTTTACTTTTGAAGTTTGGTAAAAATCGAACATTTCTGCTACTTTGAGCTTAATTTCAAGGCACCTTTCATTGTAAAACCAGTCAAAATCATCTCAATTTCAGTAATATGTCTTCCATTCTATAAAATGATACCAAGAAAACTAGAATACAACAATAAATACCATACGAAAATACACTGCAAAGTCGCTGATTTATTAAAAAAAAATGGTCAAAGTTTTTTTTTTCTCATTATGCACTGTGTGCTGCAGGATTTTTTTTAGACTGTGCACACTGACCACATAGACCCATTCTTTCATATGAAGGCCTACCAGCTTTCTCCCACTAGATTTGAGGCCGCTAGAATTTATGAGTACTAGTACGTCAAAAACCCCTACGCGTAAGACGTACTAGTACGACGAAAACCCTCAAAGGGTTAACATTGCTTTTATTACTGGTACTTTCTTTAAATTATGTGGCATGTTCCTGTCCTTATGATAAGTATATTGTATACTGTTTAACTGTTGGCAAACATGCGTTTCAGGAATCGTCAGTAGCAGCAATGATAAATACATCAAAGTGTATACTTTACCCCCCTCCCCCCCCCAAAAAAAAAAAAAAAAATTGAGCCTGAAGCAGCAACATTATGTAGTGTTTTAGTTTTTTTTTTTTACAATAGTTAAGATGATCAGTCACCATCATTATCTGTACAATTGTAAACTTGCCAGCATTATTTATTCACAGTCATAAACATCAGACTTGTGCACAGTCAGCAGCATTATACTTGTATTCAAAATCCTCAGCTCTCACAAACAAACCTAGTTCTAATTTGTCACACAGAATCATCCTCTACCATTCAAATAATTAGTAATACTATTATATAGTGCCACACTAAGTCATCCATACCACTGGAAGCAGGGCTTCCAATGGTACGGAAGACTTAGTGTGGTATGGTTCGAACCCTACCGATTTTGTGATTTAATAGTACGAGAGCTCTACCTTCATTTGAAGATACAGTTCTCCAAGTCCTGCTATGCTGTATAAGATAAAATTTTGTTGAGATTTTTAACCCTGAAGGTTAGCCACCTAGGATAACCCAATAAAGTCAGTGCATCATTGGGGGGACTTATTTCCAGTGGTGTTCTTAAATCTTGTTTCTCAGGATGTGACCCACAACAGTCAGCTAACATCCATGTACCTACTTACTACTAGGAGAACAGGGACAGCAGGCGTGGGGAAACGTGCCCAACGTTACCACCCATTCCGAGGATTGAACCACAGACACTAGGCATGTGAGCCGAGTGCACTGCCAATTAAGCCAACCATGCAAATTATGAAGGATAACAAAGGATATATAATAATCAAAGAAATTAAATAGTCTTGAAAATTTTTATGAACAACCAGTCTGCATGCTGACTTCCATAAGATGAAAATCCAACTTGCCAAGACAGATCAGACCACCAGAAACCAAGACCTTAAAATGAAGCCTTGAGGCCAGTCTGAAGACTTAGACTGCATCTCAAGAAACCATCTCTGTTACTAGCCCACATTGCCTTTCATACAGTTGATAGTCTGAGAGTGGGTTTTGAAACATTGATGAACATAATTTTAGTACAGTACAGTATAATTTAGAGTAAGGGATTAATAGGTTTAATGACACCGAGCATTATAATGTTGTTTATGGGTTCCCCTCCTCACTGAAACAATAATAATGGTCATATAGTTTATGTAAGTGTATTCTTTTAGGAAAAGGCAAGTAACTCTCAATCTTGTATGGCAACAATATACGTCGTCATCTTTCGACAAGCTTGTCGTATCTCACTGAAGCAGGGTGGCCCAAAAAGAAAAACAAAAGGTTCTCTTTTTGACTTTAGTAATATATACAGGAGAAGGGGTTACTAACCCCTTGTAGTATACATATGATTGAGTATATGTTTGGCAGATGACATGAGAGTTGCAGGAATTTAAAAAAAAAAAAAAATTAAGCCTTACTATGAGCCCACCTTGCCATTATTAGATATATATCAGAAGGTTAAGAAATATTGGTGAACATAAATATTGATGAACATTGTGGAATGTGTCAGAGGGTTATGAAATATTGATGAACATAATTTTAGTACTGTATAAGTTAGAGTAAGGGAACTAACAGTTCTTTTCCTTCCCCATTTCTCGTGACTAATACACATGTGCTAAAATTGGCATTACAAATTTTTTTTTATACAGTACATACAGTAGTATTAATATTATTGCTTGGCTAATAGCATCATCAGTGGACTGGGCTGCACTAGCAAAGCAATGGATTCAGATGAAGGAGACGGCTCCTGAGGAGCCTGTTCAGCCACCACAGCAACCTCCAGCCCCCGTCACCACTACACCAAGTCACTCGGCAGATGATTCTACCACAGGTGGAGGGGAGATGGACATGGAGATAGAAGATGATAAAGGACCTTCTGCAAATTGCACAGAGCAGCAAAATGGTATTTTTTTTATATGCTAGACTATTTTTTAAGTATACTGGCATATTTCTGCTTAAAGTTAGAAAAGATAGGAAAGGGCCAGAAAATTAGTATGAATGTCAGGGGTGTTTGTTCATGCCTGCGTATATGTATTGTTTGCTGAAGTCTAACATGCTTTGGCAGCATTCCAAATTTGACCCATGGAGCTTTATTAAAATTTATGCCTGTTTGTTGACATGCACCATAATTTCTATGTATTAATAAGTTTGGGGGAGAATTGTTCATACTATGAGCACATTAAAGCTTTTTTGTATAAATGGCAAGAAAATTGATGCACATACACATGCTTTAGTTGCAAACTAAAAAAAATTTCTTGCAGGAGACACATGGGCAGGCTGGAGTGGAGAATGGGCACCAACTCAGTCTGGGATGGGCTGGGGTTGGGGCTGGCCAGTAGACTCGTACTCTCAGAATGCATCTGGCAACCAAGACGTTGCTCACCAGTATAGCGGAAAAGACGTAAGCCAGGCAGGATATACCATGTATGGTAATGAGTTTTCAGCCATCCAGGGCATGGCTGTGCAGGTGCGTATTGGATGCTGCTGCTCGTGTCCAGCACTGCGCTTTAGGTGTTCGTTCTTCTGCTCTTGTATCATTGGTGGTGAAAATGATCACTGATGTTTAAAACTAATAATTTTAAATCTTTTGTATTCTGAAGAAAATGAAAGTTAAAATAATTGGAGTACAAATGGCTGAAAAATTATATGTTGATTCTGAGACACTTAAACTTTTTAGTTTTGTGTTCTGAAGTTATTGATACACATTAGTGTAGGTCATAGTCTTTAACTCCTTATTGGTAAATATAAAAGTTCCCCTTCTCAGCTGACGTTGCGCTTGAGTTTGAATGTATAGCAAAGTTATTTAAGTTATCAGCTGGTTGCATTGTCAAGTGTATTGTGTAGGCATATGTAATATTTTATTTCATCAATATTATAGTATGTTGACTTTAAACTTGTCCAGTTTAAAGGATTCTATAGGGCAACCTGGAGAAATTTTTTCAGTGGTACATAAATGTTAGTACAGTGGAACCTTGACTTACGAGTTTAATCCATTCCAGGAGCTAGCTCGTAACTCAATTTACTCGTACATGTATATCAAATTAATTTTCCTCGTTTAAATTAATTGAAAAGCCATTAATCCGTTCCTGAACTCTGGAGAGCCAAGGAAAAAACACTTGAATGTGACACTATTATCAACTATATGGCTTATTTGTCTATCACAATTCATCTAATATGACATAATAAACAATATAATTAACACAGAGACATGATATATACTCTAGAATTAATAAAATAGGCCATAATACAGTGGCAGAGGCAGCGGCGAAAGTGTCCGCCATTTCCTGTGTGTATATACTGAGAGTATCTTCCTGTGCTCTTATTGTAAGAGAAAACCGTATTTTTGAGGCTAACTGCAATACATCACTATTTTTCTTAGGAAAACATTGGAAATATTATATATAAGCACACAGTAAATCATAATATACTACAGAATGTAAAGAAATAATAAACCGTTTATATAAAGTGTATATGTACTTACACGTTGAACATAACTGATAGTTTGTTTTGTTTGACCACTGAACATAACTGATATGGTATCTCCTGTGAGCTGCTTCTCTCTCAACCACGTCAGCAGTAGCTTCTCCATCTTCTCATGGACAGAGGTCCGCAGCTTAGACACTATTGTAACTCCCTTGGCTGGCACTATAGCCTTTATCGACTCTTGCTGCATTAGTATCGTACATATAGTAGATTATTATTATTATTGTTGTTATTATTATTATTATAATCAAGGGGGAAGCGCTAAACCCGGAGGATTATACAGCGCCTGGGGGGGGGGGATGTGGAAGGCATTCAGGCTTAATTCGGAGAACTGGAGCACAGATCCAATTCCCTAAATCAAGGGCCACTCACCAACATCAAGGAACCTTCTTTGAGGGGTACATATTGTAGATGTACTGCGCTGGTATTGTCTGACTAAATCCACAACTCGTGCACCTTGCATATGTTTGTTGATGATTTCACGTGTTAATTCCATGGAAATCATCTTTTTCTTCTCAGCACTGTCCTTTGCACTTATTTTCTTAGGACCCATGGTTAGAAAAGTAAAATTTGGCGAAATGACTGTCAAAATTGTAAGTAAATCAGGAGAGAACTGCTTCGACAGCGATGTAAACATCAGCTGCGCCAGCTAGCGGCAGGATTCTGAATTATTATTCCGTACGTATTATGTACATTATTATTATTATTTCTTTCAACGCACCAGCCGTATCCCACGGAGGTAGGGTGGCCCAAAAGGAAAAACGAAAGTTTCTCCTTTTTCATTTAGTAATATGTACAGGAGAAGGGGTTACTAGCCCCTTGCTCCTGGCATTTTAGTCACCTCTTACAACGCATAGCTTACGGAGGAAGAATTCTGTTCCACTTCCCCATGGAGGTAAGAGGAAATAAACAAGAACAAGAACTAGTAAGTAAATAGAAGAAACCCAGAGGGGTGCATGTATATATATGCTTGTACATGTATATGTAGTGTGACCTAAGTGTAAGTAGAGGTAGCAAGACGTACCTGAAACCTTGCATGTTTATGAGACAGAAAAATGGACACCAGCAATACTACCATCATAAACCATACCCCGGCCGGGATTAAACCCACGGTCAGAGAGTCTCAAAACTCCAGCCCGTCGCGTTAGCCACTAGACCAGTTAGCCACTACCATCATGTAAAACAATTACAGGCTTTCGTTTTACACTCACTTGGCAGAACGGTAGTACCTCCCTGGGCGGTTGCTGTCTACCAACCTACTACCTGTAATTATTATTATTATTATTATTAATTTAGGGAACTGAAGCTCTGTTGTTATTGTAAAATAAATATTATTATTATTGATAATTTAGGGAATTGAAGCTCTATTGTTATAATAATTATTATTACTATTACTTTAGGGAACAAGCTCTATTGTCATTGCAATAATAATAATTATTATTATTGATAATTTAGAGAACTGAAGCTCCGTCGTTATTATCATTATTAATTTAGGGAACGAGCATATATCCAGTTCCCTAGATCAAGAGACCCTCACCAGTGTCAAGGAACCTTGATGCTGGTAAGGGGCTCTTGATGTAGGTAACTGGATATGTGCTCAAGTTCTCTAAATTAATAATAATAATAATAATAATAATAATAATAATTATAACAGAGCTTCAGTTCCCTAAATTAATAATAATAATACATTATTATAACGAGAGCTTCAGAACGAAGTCAGTTCGGTGCCCCGTTTACCTCACTGTGGGAACAGTTCTCTCCTGATTTGCTTACATTTTTGACAGTCATTTGGCCAAATTTTGCTTTTCTAACCATGGGTCCTAAGAAAGTAATTGTAAAGGACAGTGCTGGTAAGAATAAGAGGATGATTTCCAAGGAATTAAAGCATGAAATCATAGATAAACAAGAGAGGTGTCCAGGTTTTGGGTTGAGGGGGAAGTGGGGGAGAGCTGGCTCGTAACTCAAATGTTGGCTTGTAACTCAGAGCAAAAAATTGACGGATTGACGGCTCGTATCTCAAAAAACTCGTATGTTGGGACACTCGTAAGTCAAGGTTCCACTGTGTATAAATTTACTTAGAATGTTAATAATTATTTAGTGGCTTCTGAAAAAAAAAAACAAAAAAAAAAAAAACAAGAGCTTTATCCATGTGTTAAAAAAAAAAGAAAAAGGGAATGTACCAGAGTATAGTGGTACCAACACTGTTATATGGGTGGAAGCATGGATTTTAAACCTTATAGTGAGGAGTCTGGAGGCAGTGGACATGTCATCTTCAAGGGCAAGGTAGTGTAAATATTATGGGGGGAGGTCAGAACTTGGAAGGAAGGTGTGGGTTTACCAGAAATAAACGTTTGTAATTGATACCATCAAAGTGGTTTAAAAAAATTACATAAGTAAACACTAGGACATGAATATTAAAAAATGCTTCAGGCTTGGAACTTCGATAATTTCTAATGTACAAAACAGTATATATAGGTTGCATGTGGGGGGGGGGGGGTTAAGTGACACGTAATGACCTGATGAAAATGTAAGTGAAGTTTGAGGTGGCATCAGGTAGCCCATGAGATCATGTGATTTCTGTGTTATGAGGTAGGCTGGGCTTAGTCTGGTTGAATATCAAAAAAACTGGCATATGTGATACCCAGACTAAGGTCAGCCAACCTCTTAATATAAAAACCATGTGACTTCATGGGCTACCTAATGCCATATCAAAAAACCTTACTTGCATTTTCATCAGGTCACTACATGTAACTCACACTTTACTTACAGCCTATGTATACTGTTATTTTTTACCTTTGTATGTTAAGTGAGGTTCTTTCAGTCTTCAGAGGGCTGAGGAGGGGTTGTTGAGATAGTTGGATCACTCAGAAAGGATGGTGTAAAAGTAAGATGAATAGGAGAGTATATATAAATCTGGAGTGGAGGGAAGGAGGGATAGGGGTCATCCCAGGAAGGACTGGAGGAAGTGGGTAAAAGGCATTGAATACTAAGGGAGGCAAATGGTTTTTGGTAGACAGCAACCATTGATGAAGGTGGAGCTACAGTAAATGCCATTCTGCTGGCAGTAGTGAAGAAAATAGAGGCTCTGCAGAATGAACTTTCAGTGGGACTATATTTGATTTGTCAAGATATTTATCAAATTACAACTTCATAATGATCTAGACAGATCAAGAATTTGTTTCAAAAAATACGTGTTTTACAAAGTATGCAATTTTTTCACATCCCAGGAGTTGTTTATTGTTCTGTGTGTTTGTTCTTCATATACTGGGAGGTGCTTGTCTTGTCATAATTGTGAAACACAAGACAGTTAGAGGTATGCTGCTGGTAGGTATGCTGTATATTGTTTTAAGCAAATTTCTTGATACATGCCATTTAGATTAGGCTTGGTTAGGTTAGAGTGTTATCAACAATATTTACAAAAATTAACCAGTTGTAACTTACTGTACCACAGTGACCAGTGAATGCAGTAATACATAAAGACAATAAAACTTTCGAAGTACAAACAAAATGGGGACTCACTTGAGTGGACTATACAATTAACTATCAAATAATCGTCTTTCCATTCTAGTATTGGCATTACACACTGATGGTCTTCAGCCAGAGTAACGTATTGACATTGATTAGGGGATGATAGGCTGTGAGGTGACATGTAAATTTTTGTGAGATTATTGAATAAGCTAGGGGAAGTAAAATTACTGAGGACCAGGGTGGCTTGCAATTTAAAGCATATAAAGTAGATAAGAGTAAGATGGTGTTTGTGGATTTGTTGTAAGTATAAGATGGGATAAATGGGGTAGAGATTTGGCAAGTGTTGCAAATTTGTGAAATAGATAGGTTTTTCAAAGTTATAAAGGTTGAAGGAGTGCAGCTCAGGTTAGAGTATGTAGCAGAGAAGGAATATTTTCCAGTTGAATTTGGTTGGATTTGTATGGGTTGAAGAGGATGATATAGGAGTTTGTAATAGAAAATATAAAATAATCATAGAAAAGAACAAAATAATGAAGTGCAAATGTAAGCAGTAAGAGATTGGATGTCGCAGAAAGAATTGAAACTGCAGGGTCAAGAGATTGAGGATCACAGATGTGGAGGGCCCATCTGTAGCCTTTAATTTATTGCCTGAATTTTCCGTTTATTGTAGTTCATTGTCTGTCTGAGCTATTCTCGTTGTTAGGTAAGACACACATGCAACAGTTAGGTATCTTTATTTCGAAACGTTTCGCCTACACAGTAGGCTTCTTCAGTCGAGTACAGAAAAGTTGATAGAAGCAGAAGAGACTTGAAGACGATGTAATCAGTCCATCACCCTTAAAGTTTTAAGGTGGTCAGTCCCTCAGTCTGGAGAAGAGCATTGTTTCATAGTCTGAAACAATATGGAGTTGAAGTGACAGGATGGAGCCTTATATAGCGCCAGGATGCGAGACGTAGGTCACTAGTAGAAGTAAGAACGCAGATGTTGGGAGGTCAGGTCCCTCTCAAATCCAGCCGTTCTCACTAGTAGAGGTTGTCGAAGTTGATTGCAGGTCTGTACCAAGATACCCTTGTGTTGCAGCGTCTGACAGATTGAACATTAAAATGGTATAAAATACCTAACTGTTGCATGTGTGTCTTACCTAACAACCTGTCGGTATTTTATACCATTTTAATGTTCAATCTGAGCTATTCTCCCAGTTTCATAACTGCTGACTACTCTCATGCTTAAGACATTTACTCCTAAACTCATTTTGCCTATGATACTTCTGTACTTTGCCTTCTCTGTATGTCTAATTTACACCCACTGTCCTCTGGATATTAAGCTTGTATGTCATGAAATTAATACACATCTTAGCAATCTGGTTCATACTTCTCCCACCAATACCTCATTGTCTGCTGTCTGTCCTGCTTCTCTTGACCTTTGTAATATATTGGGGAAATTGGAAGCTCCCTTGCTGACAGGCTTGAGGAACACAAAAGAAGAATTCAAGAATGCTTATATTAACAATATATTTTGTCATGTTATAAGCCATGGCATTACAGATTCCATCTTGTAGTGATTGGTGAGTAGCTAACAAAAATAGGAATATAAAACACATAGCAAACAACTTTTTGGCATAAATAAGCTTTAGGAGGATTGAAAAGGCCATATTTTAGTTAAAAAAAGTAATAAATGGCTCACTCTGCTGTTTTTTGTATTCCTAGATGCCTTGTCAAATCTTCTCTACAAAGCATTCCTAACATGATTCTAAGCCCTGCCAGTTTTGTTTCTGTTCATGCTTGCCCTTTCCCATACATTGTCAGATGCTCTTAATATTCACTTAGTATTGACTTGTTGGCAGTCTTCTCACTTCTCTGAAACTGGGTTATCTCAATTCTTCACAAGATCCCTTTGCTGATTTTTTTCCTCATTTTCTCTCACTTGAGACTTGATAATGGTCCAGGAAACGTTATCTAAAGTTTTCTCTTTAAATTATGAGTTAATTGTAAAGTGTTCCAGCATTGGTATTGTAGCTTAAAATTTTGTTGAACCACCTGCTTGTTTGCAAGTCTATTAGCCAATTGTTTGACCCATAAGGGTTTGGTACCTTTTTTTTTATATAATTAGCTAGAGAGTTTGTGTTTTTATGTACATGTTATGTTGTAATGAGGCAGTGATTGATAAGGTGCATTATTCTACACTACTTGGTGGATATATCGAGCATTTTATGGTGAATAGTTTTATAAGGTTGAGTGATAAATATGAGTTGAGTGAATTTTGCTCAGTAAGGAGACTTGCAAAGATTTCAATTGATATATTTTGTGGTGTATATATAGCTGATAAATTGGTATTTGTTTACTTAGTCTTTGTGTGAAAATGTGTAGTAAAAGATTTTGACAAAAAAAAATAGAAAATTGGCTTATTTGAGTCTCCTTATTTCTAAATGTAATGATAATCACTCTGAATTTCCTTTGTATATTTCCCCAAGTTAGAAATTATTCAGATTAATTGAAATGCCTAGAATGACTGATGTGTATTTTAATGTAAAATTTTCTCATGTTAGGGTGAATATGGATGGCCCATGTTGGGAAGTGATTCTACCCAAGGTGACTATATGGGAAATGATGGAAGGGACAGGCGTGGAAGGGAGTTCCAGGTTGGTGCCATGGATCAGGACCGAGCTGCTGCTAAGGAGGCGGACTTCCAGTTAGACGCAGCCCAGAGAAAAAAACTCCCTGCTTGGATCCGTGAAGGTCTTGAGAAAATGGAGAGGGAAAAGCAGAGAAAGGTATGTATTTGGAATATCAGGTTTTCAGTAATCCTGCTAGATGTTCAAGCCCCTAAAACTCAAAGCCTCTTCTGCCCCCTCCCTCTAACAATTCCTGGGACAATTTTTACTCCAGCTTTCCACCCCAGATTTTTATACCCTCTTCATCATGTCTACATTTGCAAAGTACTCAACAACGCTTTCACAGGTCTGAATTATATCCTTGGTGACCACACACAAAATTCTAATTTCTCTGCTTTAAATTTTATACATGATATTCACTCCAGACATTGTTCTCAAACATAACATCCCCACTATCTCTAGCCTCCATAGATAAATTTTTCTTTTGTTAAATGCTGCAATGCACCACCCATCTTTCTTTTCCCCTTCATGTATTCTTGTGGTCACCTTGTCCTGCATAGACCCATCTGCTGACATGTCCACTCCCAGATATCTAAATACACTGTATATTCATAGTATGATAAATCTGTTATTGCCTAGACTTTTTAACACCAGTCATCTCCCACCAAAGTAGGGTGACCTGTAAAAGAAGAAACTAAACTCTTCTTTTTACATTCAGTAATTTATATGGGAGAAGGGGTTACTAGCCCCTTGCTCTCTCGCCTAGACTTATTCAGCATTTAACCCTTTGACTGTTTCAGGCCCCTCTCTGAAACTGTCATTCTATGTCGCCAAATATTCAAAAAAAAAAAAATTATTTTTTCTTATGAAAATGTTAAGATTATTTTTCTGAGTGTTTTAGTCCAAAAAAAAAATTTTTGCCATCGGTACTTACCGAGATATAGAGCCGTGAAGTTTGGCAAAAATGAGCGTTATGGCAACAGCGGCGACTGCTGCTCACCCGGATAAAACTTGAGTTTTACTTGTATTTGAAGGTTGTTGTTTTTTTCACTATTTTATTTTTCACATTTTAACTTATGTGGCTTGAGAATTAAGTAAGGTGCAATGTATTAATAAAACTTGTATACAAACAATAAGCACACAAACATAATTATCAATATATTGTTTACATAAATTGTTTACAAAAACAAACAAACAAATCAACAACAATTCTTCTTCTTCTTCTTCTTCTTCTTCTTCTTCTTCTTCTCCTTCTTCTCCTTCTTCTTCTCCTTCTTCTTCTCCTTCTTCTTCTCCTCTTCTTCTCCTTCTTCTTCTCTTCTTCTCCTCCTTACGTCCTCCTACCTCCTCCTTCTCTCCTTCTCCTCCTCCTTGTGTGCGAGTGTGTGGCTTATAATTGTTTTGAGTCAGAAGTCGGCAGCTGTCAATGTGACATATTGTCTCATTAGTCACTACCCTTACCCCTGTCAAAACAATGGTGGTCGGAAATGCTGCTTCCCCTCCTCATTCTATCTAATTATCTTTCTCCCTCATTCTATATCTTTCAATCTGTTCTCTTTCTGTCGTGCCTATCTCTGTCTCACAGGTACACATAAATACAAGGTAACACTGTGTAAATTACCTAGGATAACCCAAGAAATCCAGACAAAGTGCTATACTCTGCTTTGAAGATGTTGTGTTAAATCGTGATGACACAGTACTTGTGGCTCTCTCTGAGGTCAGAGAGGCTAGATGGACAGACAGGGAGCTTGACTAGACGAGACTAATAGTACAGACAGAAATGTTTGTGTACCAGCAAAAAAAAAGGGAGGCGATGGTTCATGTAATATTACCCCCTTTACGCTCATCAAAGTCAGCTTTATCAGATGTTTATCTCCTCCTTATTTGTCACTGTCATGGGGTTGGACTTTTTTTTTTTTTTGTTTAAAGGGAAAAAATATTATTATTTTCTTTTCCCTCCTCCTCCTCCCCCCCTCCCTTTCTCCTCCTTCCCCCTCCCCCCCTCCTCCTCCTCCCCCTCCTCCTCCCTTTTCCCTCCCCTCCTCCTCCTCCCCTTCCCCCCCTCCCCCCCCCCCTCCTCCTCCATGCTTTTGGTTAAAAACCCTCCAAATCATAAAATTGATCTTCACTGACATTCCTCTGTTTTAGAGCATATTGGGAAAGAGAAGGTCCTTTGCTGGGGAATAAATTTTTTTACATGAAATGCTGAAAAAATGCAAATGAAAAGGGCTTCCCCACAATGCCATGGCTCCCCGATTTTTTTTTATGGTGCCCCCATGACCATGGAGACCCATTCTTACATGGGGGCCCCTTAGCGTTTCTCCTGCTTGTTTGAAGCTGCTAAAAATTTATTTGCGTATAAATCGTCAGAAACATTTCTCGTAAAAGTTTTATACGCGGGGAAAAAGTCAAGGGTTAAGGCTGACTTAAAATTGTTTATGTTGGTTCCTTGTAAACAGTAAAATTGATTTTAAAATAAGGACGCTCATTTGTTTTACATGGCGTGTGTCCATTGATTGAAATTTGGGTGGAATCAGATTGAGACAACTGAGATGGAATGTAAAGGGCATTAAAGAGATGGAATGTCAGGTACTTAAAGTTGGTTTTTTATTTTTGGGTTTACGTGATTTGGGAATTCTACCTAATCTTGAAAATTTTTCAGAAAATTTAGAAAAATAATACAGGGCTGTAGTAATTTTTTTTTAGCACCAGGCTTACAAAAAAATTTTTAAAAAGAAATGCTAGGTGCCAAAAAAACTTAAAACAGGGAAAACAGTTTTTAAAATGATTGAGGTGGTAATTGTGACAAATTAAAAATATTTTTGGTAGGACATTTTATTCAATGCATCTTAGGGAGGACTATTACACTAGAATAATAAAGTTTGTATGCTATTCTGTATGAAAGGAATAATGGTTAGGCTGAATTAACTTTTACAAAACCCGTGAGCTAATAAGACGAATGTTAGTATTATACCTTTTTTAAAGGGAAAAACTGTTTTATTTTTAAGTTCAACGAAGAAAGGAGGTTTTGTGTTGGGTTTTGAATGTCTTTCTAAAAATAAAAAGGTTTTGATGTATGAACTATGAAGTTTTGTTATGTTATTGCTGCAGTTAGAAAAAGAGAGGCAGATGTCTGAAAAGGGGGAGATATTGGGCAAAAAAAGAGAGGGGAACCAGGCAAGCGATCCCGGAAGAAGACCTTGCTAAAGATGGCAAAAAACCCCGGATCCCCGGAAAAAAACAAAATTTTTAAGGTACTTTTTTTTTTTTTTTTTTTTTTTTTTTTTTTTTTTTTTTTTTTTTTTTTTTGTCAGACATGAAAGATGTGTAAATACGGCTGTACTGAGGCTTTTCTCTTATGGCCACATTCTTTAAAGAGTTCTTTGTATTAAAGCTGCAAGGCCAAGAATTAGTAGCTTAAAAATATATAAATTCATAAAACTTTCTTATTAATCTTGAACCAAGGAAGTTATGAAGAAATAGGTCAAATCTTAAGTTACTATAGTATATCACTCTTCATATCTCTTCTTGATTGATGGTTATAGTTATTCCCAGTTACTTTCTGCTGTGACTTCATACACTGGTTGCCCTGTTTAATATCCAATGCACTCTTTATGTTCCTAAGGATAGTAATATTAGGCTTGCCAAACTCCAGACCTAACACAAAGACAGGGACATCTTTGGTGATGAATGGACAGATCCTGAAGTGGAGGGTGCTCCGTAGCAGATTTATGGCTCTCAGTAATTTATAGGCCATAATCATCAGTTTGTCTTTGGGAAGTAATAGGCCTGGTAGATAGAGCAAATTGTGTATGGTTCAGCAGGACAGGTGGTGTTGTACCTTCCTTATTCAACAAATTGTCATTGAGATGATTCTGTATAGCACACTTCTTTGCTGGGAATCCTGATATTGAGTTTGGTGCATATTTTAATCATTGGCCTGTAGCTTAGATCTCTTAGGTAATGGCATGGTTTTAATATTTCCAGGGGTATTAGTTAGAATCTTAGGGGATTTTAGGGTACTTTTTAATGGTTAGTATTATTATTACTGGTATATTGTACTGTAATCTGCCTACAAGATTTTTTAATAAGCTGATCTTGCCTAATAGGCAAGATCGGCAAGGCAAAATTTTTTACTGATAGTATATTCTTTTCATTGACTGTAATATAACATCTTTTATTTTTGGATCAAACCTAACTTAGAAACCTCACCTAAGTATTAATTTTGAAGGATATCATGCATAACTGATTCAAGGAAAAGAATTACCTTTTAACATTTTTTTTCAAGTCCATTGGCACCTTTGATACTGCCATACTGACCTTAATCCTTCTTGAATAATTGTCTAGATTGGTAAAATTGCCTTATTACTAAATTTATTTTGTAATTATTGAAGCTGATTCTCTATAATTTCCTTTATGGGTAAATAAATGTAAATATTCTGTATTTGGTCATAGGACAGTGATAGTGACATATCTGACCATAGCCGTTCTGCAAGTCCTGAAATGTCCACGCAAGGATTGGGCATGACACGAAAACGTCGTTCAAGGTTTGAACCTCGGGATGGGCAGGGAGAAATGCAAGATGAGGATGATGTAAAGGATGAAGATGAGAATGATGATGGAGAAAAAGAAGAGGAAGAAAGTAAAAGCATTAGAAGGGTGCCCTCCCCTGAACCTGTTAAGACAGAGGAAGAGAAAATGCAGGAGATGGTGTGTAGAACTTGTTGTATTTTAGTAAACCTTCGATTTAAAGGACTAATGGGGAGCAGGTCTGTTAAAGCCAGTTTCCCACTAAACCTGAATAAGAAAATTGATTTTTCTATGATTGTAATAATAATAGACTATTCTGGATTTAAGACTTTGTCCATTAAATCCAGACCCCACAACAATTACATTCATTATTAAATACAGAAAGTAAAAAATCATCTTATCAAGCTGCCTGGATATTTAATAGATGTCTGTCTGTCTTTTTTTTTTTTTTTTTTTTTTTCAGATGTTCGGCCACAGATATTACCTTTAAATCCAAAGTCTGTTAAATTGAGGTTTTACTGTATTATTACAAATCGTTATCATTATGTGGAATACTCTCAGTTTCAGGGAATGGTTGAAGTTGCAATAATTGTGAATTTAGAATTTTCCAAATACAGTAGTGGGGAAAATTCAGAATATTAGGAAGACAACAAATGTAGAACCTGTATTTAAGAAAGATAGGCAAGAGGCAATGAATTACAGGCCACTTGCTGAAATGTATACCATTCAAGATAATGGAGAGATTAAAAGTCAAGAAAGTGGTTGAACACTTGGATCTGCAATTGAAGGTTTTAATTAATTAACTGTTAATTTATTGTGTTTGGCATGTTTGAAAATTTAATTGATGTACTGAAGCTCTTTTCATTGGCCCTTTTTTTTTTTTTTTTTTTTTCCCAGATGTTGAAGCTGAGACGTTGGATGACTGAAATTCTGTTAGATGTGACAACCAGCATGATGGAAGAAGTGTGTTCCGAGGTGCTAAGTCGTGCCCGTATGAAAGGTATATCATTACCCGAACTAAGTTTCTGGTTAGGAAGTTGTTACGTTATCCAAATAATAAAGCATCAGCCTAGCTGACAGCTTGTACCCGTATAGTTTTGAACTTCCCTTCGATTGGCCAACTCAAGTTTCTATGAATAGATCGTAACAATGAAAGTATCATTAATAATGAAACTTATGAATATTATTTTTTGTTTTTTGAAATGTGAAAAGCACATGATCAATCCCAGTTACTTCATAAAGCTTTAGTATTAGTGATATATTTATATATAATAATTAATTTCTTTTTATTAAGTTATTTTACTAAATTACGATGAAAAGAAAGTAAGGGAAGAGGTTTCAGTGAGAGGTCTACATGGTCATTTGTATCCAGAGCATAGTGGCTTGTGAACTATGTACTGAACTCCATAGACAACTTTGTGATTGGTATCATCAGTTTTTATCTTCAATGAAGTTAAGTTAAAAGAAAGCAAGTGAGTAAGATCCATTAAGACCACCCCTTGAGTTGTGGAATGGACATCAAGTAGTGAGTGTTGTGGAGGCCTCTTCCCTCTGAATAAACAGTCAATTCCCTTATAGAGGTGAGCTTGTCTCTGCTTAGTGTGGTAAGGCTGGTCTGCCGGGGTCTCCCGCAACACTAAACTTCCTGTGTTTGTCTAAAGCTCCGGCAGTTCAGGTCAAGAAGAGCTCGGCCCTAGCCTCTTTGTCGGGCGGCATTGGTAAGTTAAAACCAACCTTTTTCTGTTTTGTAATATTGTGGCTTTATTTTTCTCTTTCCTTTACTTTTTAAGGAGCCTTGGGCATTGCTTACACACTTCTAAACTATGATTATGCTGTGGGTGAGGCATTGTCCCAGAATTTGTAAGACTTCATCTTTTGAATTTAGCTATGCTGTCTTCTCCCATTTAAAAATCAGTGTATGTTGTGTGCCTTCAGAGAAAATGCTGTAGTTATAAAGTTACTGTATAATTTTTATTTTACTGCATAATTGCAACCATTTACAAGCTTTTCTTAATATCTGGAAGAAGGCAGCATTCTTCCTGTGAATTGTAAATTGAAGTTGCAGGAATTACCTGGTTGTAAAGCATTGATTGAAATGGGTTATGGTTACACAGATTTCAGTATAACCTGGTGTTGAAGAATGATGTAGTAGCCAGATTTCTTATTACTATATGATGAATTTTGCCTCATACCCTTGTATAGAATACAAATAGCTGAGGACCTAGAAAATCTGTGTAGACTTCAGAACACCACCTAGTAAGCAGTATTACCTGGCAACCTTTTCGAAGTGTTTGGAGACTTTTTTTTTTTTGATATATTATGCCAGTGCTGAAAACTGATGACTCAAGAATGAAAATTTAATTTAAAACATTATGATTGTTTATTTAAGGAATATATTACTTGCTCTGTAGTTATTATACTGTATTTAGTTACCAAGAATGCAGATACAGTAGACCCCTCATATTATATAGTAGTTATGTTCCTGAAAATGCTGTGTTAGATAAATCCGTGTTATATAAACTTCATGAAGAACTTATGGGAAAAATAGGGTTACATTCCTGGGATTCCCCCAAAAGCCAAACAACTTTTATTTAGACATCCCGATCTTACAAAAATAAAAATGATAATGTTTTTGTTGCTTAAGATAATTGCAACAGAAATAATAATATTTACCTTAAATTGTGGTTGCTGGTGTATGTCAGTGATTGTGAAGAGAGTGGAGATGCATGGTGTGGCCCTACTGGGCTGAGGTGGATGGTTGAGGTGCTGGTACTAAAGTCAATGGTTGTATTGGAGTGTGCATAAATTCTGTAATGGATCTCTGGCTTCTTTTACTCTGCAGTATATAATACATTATTCCAGAAGCTTGGTACTGCCAAGTTGGAGTCAAGAGTCCATTGATGCAACTAGTTTTTTTCATCACTTGTGTAGTTAAACTTTAATGACTTTAATAACTCTTCGATCCAGTGTTGTATTTGGAAGTAAAAATACAACTTTTACATGTGGGGTCACATCCAGCAAAGCTTCTGGATGAGAATGGAAATTTTCAAGAATAGAGAGAGCCTTGAATGCAAGGTTCTTGCTGTGCAGGTAAAACTTGACCTCAGGAATAAAGTGATGCTTAAACCAGTCAATAAATATTTCCTCTGTCATCCATGCTGACTGGTTTGACCTCTAAATTACTGGTAATGTGTTTTTATCTACACCTTTCAAAGCACGAGGATTCTTAGAGCAGTAAATCACCATGGGCTTACACTTGAAATCACCTGACGCATTACTGCAGAGGAGCAAGGTGAAGCGATCCTTTGCTGCCTTGAAGCCCGGTGCAGCCCCACGGAGACAGTGGTCTCGCCCACAGCCAGGCGGCAGCCTGAGCTAGAGAAATATCCCAAGGGCGATGCTCTATATTTTTTCCCTCCCTCAAACCGAATTGTGTTAAGTTAATTTTACAAGGGTGTTCCATAAAATTACGCCGCAAGTTTTCAATGCTGTAATAACGAAAACGTGCCAAATAAATCCGTGTAATATGAGGGTCTACCGTATGTGATAATTAAAAAAGTCAGTGTCCAAACATGCATGAAGGGAGGAAAGTCAAATCAAAATTATAGTATTTTAATTTTTTATAAAAATTGGAAATGTGTAGTAAAAGATTTTGACAAAGTAGAAAATTAACTACTTTGGTAGTGTTTAGAAATTCACTGTGATTTCACATTTTGTTCTTAGTTTTACATGTGATTTGATGATTCCTAATACTACAACTGAAATTTGCAATAATTAATCTGTGAAAATTTTCTTTCATCAGATTTGAAACTAATGCTTTCATGAGTTTTAAGAGCAAATGTTAAATCAGTGAGACATAGAAAAATAATATAAAGGTGTAACTTTAGTGTATTTTTAATATACCTTAACCAGAAATTATTTTACAGGGCTTGGCATCTACAGTGACAGTGACAGTGATGGCGAGGGCTCTGACGGTGATGGAAGCAGTGACCGAGGCGACAGTGACGAGGAATTACGACAGATCATCAGACGTAAACAGAGAGATTTTCAAGCTACAGAAAGGGATATACTTCAGCGCTTGCAAGCTGAAGAAATGGCAGAACGGGAAAAGAAGTTTGATACGAATGACTCTGATTCAGATGATGAAGATGATAAAGAGGCTGGGGAGGGAGAATCAGAGGGCGCAAAGGAGAGAAGGGCTAGCAAGGAAGGGGAAGGGGACAGGCTTGGGGAACAACCACAGACCCAAGAAGACTCAGAGGAAGATGCCAGTCCATCTTTAAGCCCTAGTAAGTAAGATATATAAAATTAATAGAGAGAAGGTGGGGTAGGAGTCATCCTTGGAAAGGTTGGAGGGAGGGAGTAAAGGACTTTTTGTGTGCAAGGGGCTTGGACTTCCAGCAAGCATGTGGGAGCATGTTAGATAGGAGTGAGTGTAGACAAATGGTTTCTATGACTTGATGTGCTGTTGGAATGTGAGCAGAGTAACCTTTATGAAGGGATTCAGAGAAACCAGTTCCTCAGACTTGAGTGCTGGAGGTGGGAAGTACAGTGCCTGTGCTCTGAAGGAGGGCTGTGGTATAGGCACCTCTGGCAAGACATTGATGGACTGAATGATGAAAGTGTTTCTTCTTTTTTGGGTTACCCTGCCTCAGTGGGAAACGACCAATGTGTTAATAAAAAATTTAGGACCAATTCACAACTTTTTCATGAATAGAGATGTAACTAGATGTTTAAATCCATCCAGGACATTTATCAACTTGGGAAGTGATAATGGGCTGATTCTTAACAAAAATTTGGTTTTAATCCTAGTTAAGAAAGAAACTAGTTTTTAATCTTAGTTTTTAGAAAGAGGCAAATTTTAATTTTAGTTTATAGACAAATTGTAACTTAAAAAATAATTTATTTACAATGAGTCTGTACTATGCTAAATATGAATCAAATCACTTTTTGTATTGGACCTGTTCAGCCTTTACACTATCATTTATGAGGAATCTTAATTATTGCTATTTTTGCAGGTAATGTGAAACCTATGAAATTTGAACCACCTCAAGATCCTGAGGTAGATTCCACACAGCCAGATAGTGCCACCCCAAGTGATTCTAAGAAAGGGGATGAGGAATCTGTACATAGTGTAGACTCTGAAGAAGACTCTAAGTCATCTTTGAGTGATCACTCTCATTCTAGTGAGGGAAGGAAAAAAAAGAGAAGGAAATCCAAAAAGGAAAAAAAGAAAAAAGAGGGAAGAAAAAGGAGTAGATCAGGGAGCAGGGAAAGGGAGGAAAAGAGAGAACACAAGAAGAAAAAGAAACGTAAAGAGATTAGTAGGAGCAGAAGTAGAAGTTCTGAAGAATATAGTAGATACAGAAGTAGAAGTAAGAGCAGAGAGAGCTATAAGAGGAAGAGAGATGTAAGTCTAAGTCCATTTGAGGAAAGAAGTTCTCGTAGGCACTACAGCCGGGATCGTTCTAGATCTAAAGGTAGAGATAAGCCACGGGGAAAAAATGGAACAAGGGACTGGTCAAGGGATAGATCTAGAGATAGGCGAAGAAGTAGGTCTCGTGGTAGGAAAAGTAGTAAATCTAGGGACAAAAAACATTATAGGGACAAAAGTAATGAGAGTCGATCTGGGTACCGTCATAGAAGTAGGTCTCGAGGAAGGGATCATAGACGAAGTTATAGAGATGGGAGTGAGGATAGTAGATCAGGAAGAAGTAGTAGAAGGCGCTCTCCCACATACAGTAGAAGCAGAAGTCGGAGCAGAGATTATTCACACAGGAGAGATCGCTATCAATCCAGATCTCGCTCCAGGTCAAGAACTCCAAAAAGATCAAAGAAACGTCGTCGCTCCCGTTCCATAAGTTCTTCTATATCACTTCCGAAGAAGTCAAGAAGAAGATCCCGATCGTCATCGTAGGCAAGTGAAGGTCCTATCGTGAGTGCTGTGGTAAGACCACAACAAGGTAAGTTGTTTGTGTTCTGTGAAGATGTCTGTGTACACTTTCAGGTCAACAGCTGTCGCCCACCATGTGAAATTTCTCAACGGTGTGAGGGGACAGGATTTAATTATTTCGAAGAGAAAGAAAGCAGGCAACTTCAATTTGTTTGGTATGCATTTTAGTCATCCAAGTTAAAAAAAAAAAAAAAGAGGAATGAGAGTAGTTGTGATAATTTTTAATTGATGCATTACATTTATAATTTCTATCATATCTTAGTGCCTATGTCATGAAGTTTACACCTATAAAAATAGGCTTTATATTTTTTATGGTTTGTTCTCCTTTTCAGCACCTGCCTTGCACTGCCCATCGTTTGAAGTTCCAACCTATGTCATATTTTGACACTGGTGTATCCAAAGATCGGTCACATCTGTGAATAGTACTTTCTAATGAAAATAGCTGTATAATTTATTATATTTGTTTTTCAATACGAGTCTCTTATTCCAGGACAGGAAAAAAAAAAGTTGTATTTTCTATTGAACATGAATCTGGAATGTATGGGAAAATTTTTTATTAGTCATTCACATATATTCTCATGATCAATAGCTCATGTTCAAAAGATTGGTCACCTTTTACTTTTCAGGTTCTGTAATTGAAAAGCTTGCTCATGTAGCTTAGAATAAAGAAATTAAGACTTTATTTTTAGTATTTTGACTCCTGTTTGTTGCACTTTTTTAACCAGAGCAGTATTCAGGCAAGTATTTCCAGTTTGCAAAGGTATAAAAGTAATTTCCTCAAAGGTTTGCTTTTGAGATGAATATTTTATTGCCTTGATAATATATCATTTCACCCTGAAATATCAAAAACTAAGCAGATCTTTGAACTTCAGGTCATAAATAACCTAATGTAGGAATTGCAAGATTTTTGTGACTTAACCCGATGACTGTTGCAAGCCCCTTTCTGAAACTCATTCTGTCACAAAATTTTTGGAAAAAAAAAAAAAAAGTTTTTCTTATGAAATGATAGAGAATCTTTTTCCGATGGTAATGACACCAAAAGTACGAAATTTGGTTGAAAATCAGACTTACGCTCCCGCGAAGTTAGCGGTCTCGGTGACATGTACGTATCAGCGATTTTGCCAACTTTGAGCCCTGTTTTTGGCCAATTCCGTTGTTCCAGTTGACCAAACTCATAGCTATTTCTTTAGAACTATTTTTTTTTTATCAGTTGAGTACAAGAAACCGCACATTTACCAATTTGAACTACCCAATATTGTGAAATTGGCCAGATTGCCAATTTCACAATAGGGTCCAGAATAAACAATGTAGACATTCTTGGCACTAAAATAACATATCCTCTGTTCATTAGTCACATCTCTAGGCCCCTCTTAGAAAGCAATAGTAATATATTTTTTTTTTTTCATACAAAAAATACAAAATTTACTGTTGTGCAGACTACTGTATTATTGTAAAAAGGGTATAAATAATATCAGTGCACTAGTGAAAGAATATTAAACTCCCCAGTTGACATGTATTGGACGTGTGGTGTGATTTGCTTACTCCTGACCTACTTTGAGGTCAATTTCTTTGTGAAAGGAATCAAAATCTTTTCTATTTCTGTAATATGTTTTCCATTTCATTACGGGAGACCATGAAAACGAGAATACAATGATAAATACCATACGAAAATACACCTCAAAGTCGGCGTTTTAATCCCCCCCCAAAAAAAACGGTCACTTTTTTTTTTCTCATTATGCACTGTGCTGCAGGATTTTATGTGGTGCACACTGACCACACAGGCCCACATGTGAGAGAATGGGTCTACCAGCTTTCTCCTGCTTGATTTGAAGCTACTAGAATTTATGCATATTCATACGTCCAAAACACTGGCTCATAAGACGTATGTATACGACTAAAACAGTCAAAGGTTTAAATTGGATTAGCACTTATTTATCTGAATAAAACAGGTGTTTCAAATGACCTGGTGTAGCTAATGTTGCTATTTATCAATGCTAAGTAATTACATTGAGGATTGAATTAATTTAAAAGTACAGTAGACCATTGGATAATACGCAGTCTGTTAACATGTTTTCGCTAAAACATGGTTACAAAATTACAGCATATTTTTCATGAAGACAACGTCAGACTAGGTTTACGCAGTGAGGTATACATAGAAAATGCGTTCTTTCCCCTCTGTATCACAGTAAGCCTTGGCAAGTCCATTGTCTTCAAGGAAAGTACTTCATAATGTACACAGCCTCCCTCAGTGTTTCATTCGTACATGTCCATTACCATACTTGTTCTGTTAGTGAATCAACTTTTGATCTTTTCGTCATCCCATCTCGGGATAGTGACTATGGCACCAAGAAGAAAGATTCTGGAACTGCAAAGAAACAAAAAACATGAAAGTCTTGGCATTTCAAAGAAATTCAAGAGATAAGAGTGCATACATGTGGAGATGGCATGAGCCTATGGCTGGAATGAGGCAAAGATAAGAGCTTGTACAATGAAAAGAATGATGCACACTCCCATGCAACTCCTCTCCATGGCCACATGCCTTCACCCCACACCATCCCAATCAAGTCTCTTTTCCCCCTTCCTCTTCAAAGGGGGCTCCTTGCTGTGGTGAAGAGGCTCTTGGTCTGAGGAATCAGACCTGTTGGTCTCCTTCCTCAGACCGAACCTAATTACCCCCCAATCCCCCCCTCCTTATCCCATCCTCCCCTTTTTCCTTTCCTCCTCCTCCTCCCCACCCCTCCCTTTTGCCCTTCCTCTTTTTGGCCTTTGGGATTTCTCCCACAGGCGCGCTAGTTCCTAGGTAGGGGAAAGGATAGGGGGGCCCATCCCATTACTTTGGGTTCTTGGGGGTGGGCGTAATTTGCCGTGGTCTGAATGCCGGGGGAGCCGACCCCTCTCCGGTCCCCGGGGAGTAGTTTTGGGGTGTCTTTGGGCGACGGGGATCTCGGGGAACCATTTTCAGATCCGGGGTGGTGGCCCCAAAAAGGAGGTATCTTTGTGGCGATACCCGGCCCCCCCTCTCTTTTGTCCCCCCCGAGGTAGTCGGCGTTGGGGTTTGCTACCCCGGTTTGCGGTTTATGGCATGAAGGGTGGGGTATGGCAGGGGTTTCCCAGCTGCTCTGACTACTAGCGGGCTGAGGTCCTTTGGGCGCGGAGGGAGATTTCCCGGCCCCTTTTTCATTCCTCCTGGGAACTTTCCTCCCCGCTCCCCCTTTTTTTTTTTCTTTTTTTTTTTTTTTCTTTTCTTTTTTTTTCTTGAAAAAAAAAAAGCAAAGGAGAAGCAAACCATGGAAAAACCAAACCCATCCCCACTCCCCCCCGGCCCCCCTTCTTGTTTCGCCCCCATTCTGACCCTGTTTGTTTTTAGCCTTTTCGGACCTCCGATGCCCCAAACCCTCTTGCGGTGCTGTTTCCTCCCCCGCTTCGGTCCCGGGCTTGACGGGACCCCTTCGATTGTTGAACCCCTCTCTCCTTTGCTATGTTTCCCGGTTCCCCCTCTGGGCCCGGCAATTTTCAAATTTGCCCGCCTTTTAAACCCGGGACCAACTCCAGCCCACTCCTAAACCCCCACGTCAACCCCCTGATGATGCCCCTTCGTTCCTTCCCATTCTACTCGGAAAAAGACGACAGTCATGCACTCCTCTCCCGCTCATTTTCGGACCACAAATGGACTAAATTCTTATTTTAAGCAGACTTCTTCACCCTCCCTTTCTGCCCTAGTTTTGGCAAAGCGCTCTTGCGTCATTTTGGGCAGGATATTCATTCATGCTCTCAAGAGCGGTACGCGCATCGTCATGTCCAAAAACTCCCCAAAGTATGATCTTTCTCCCCTTTCGAATATGATACTACTACTTCATATTGAAAAAATCTTTTTAATTTTTGTAGGGTCTGTATTTCCCCCATCCATAGTCCAACAGAATTTCCAGCATTTGGCAAGACTTTCTTGAAACAGCTGGAACCCCCGGATTCCCAACCCTCAAAGTAGACACTTTGCCCTTCCCTGCCCGTGGGCGGGAGTTACCTTGCAATGTGGCTTTTTTAACTTTTGAGTGAGAATTCCTCCTTGTATATGTCGGGGAAATCGGTTAAAAGTTAAAAAAGGTGTTCCTACAGCAACAGTGTAGGAATTGCGGCGTTTTGGTCACCCAGCGAAATATTGCAGATTTGGCCAAAATGCCAGTCTGTGGTGCGATGCCATTCTAATACATCTTGCAGTAAACCCTCCATTTTTCCCTTAAATTGAATGAAGCTCCCCTTGTCTCCCTCCGTTCCCGTCTACTTAAATAAGTGAAATCCTTCCTCAAAGAGGGAAAGGCTCCCTTATGCTAGGCAGTTACCTCTCCGCCCCCAAGGGAGATCCCCCGTTTTCTTATTTTGTGTTTCAAAACATCCCCCCCTTTGGGGGGTCCCATCTTGTGCGCCCCCTCTGTTGGTCCCCTCCCAGAGCCCTCCGGCATCTAATTTCCTTTTTGCGCCCTGGCTCTGACGTCCCGACACAACTCAGTCTGTTTCACATCTTCGCGTCCTTCCTCAAAACCCCCGTTCGCAAGACTGACGACCCTTACCAATCCCCCCCTTACTCAAAAGCCCAAAAAACCCACTTTGGAAAAATTTCTTTGCCCCCCCTTCCCCATCCCCCCCTTTCCTTTCCAGTCCTGTACCATTCTTCCCCCCTTGGGCCATAAAAATGGGAAAAACACCCCCCCTGATTGCCCCCCCCCCCCCCAAAGTTTTCTTTTGTATCCCAAAGGTTTCTGCCTTTGTTCCCCCCCCATTTTCCGCCCTTTACATTTTCCCCCCCCCTTCTTTTTTTCATATTACGTCCCAATTTTTTTTTTTTCCTCCTCCTTTAATATTCCCCCAACTCTTTGAATTCAGAAACACTTGAAGCCATTTCAGAAAATTGCAGGAAAAACCTTCAATGGACACTGTTTTATTCTGTTCCCTTTCTTCCCCTCCCCATCTTTACAACCCCCTTCTTCGCAAGCTCGTTTCCCCGCTACTTGAACTTTCCAATGCCCCCACCGTTGACTTTCAACCCCTCTAGTCCCTGGTGCCTTCCCCAGATTCCTGATTTTTCTTCATCGCCAATCATGGCCTATTTTCAGTGGAAAATCCCCGGCCTCAGGGGTAATCGGGGTGAGCTTCAGATGTTGTTTCCCGGGGGTTTTCCCCCGTTGGTGCTTGTTTCAAGAACCCAAAAAACACTCGGCTGTTTTCCAACCCATTCGGCTATAATTTATTGAATTTTTGGATCCTTTTTCGATGGGCCTTTAATGAAGTGCCCTTCTTCTCGCAAAAGTTTTTCCGACTGTCAAATATTTGTCCATACCTGTTGCTTACACTGCAGCCCGTAAACCCCTTGAATAAGTGGTTTACAATTTGTTCTTTATATCTCTCTCCCTTTTCGAGCATTTTCTTCCAGACTTTTCCTTTCTTGTTTCTCCTTACCACCACCACTTCTGTTACTTGGTGATTTTTTGCCCCCCATTGCCTCTGGGGGGGGGCTCATTGGCTCATGGCTTCAGTTGGGGTTTTCTTGCCTCTCACCCCCCCCATGTTTTAAATACGGGTATCCCACCCTTTTGATCCTCGTAATCTACTCTTCTTGCATCGATCTATAGTCTGTTTCCCATGCACTAGATTCACCGGTTGTTCTACCGACTTACTGACAGCGACATT